AAAAGTTTTACTGGTTTCTATGGGGCATTTTTAGTAGGGCAGCTATCCCAGTTTTCATAGTATAAGGTGTAAAAGTCACTAGCTTCATTCTTGCTTTTGGAACTGTAACCAATCAAGGGAGGTAAAGTAGCGCATGCGTAAATATACAGGTGACTCAGCGAAATCGTCGATCGAATGTCAGTTCGTGCTCGCTTCGTTGTGATCGCTTGTTAAGCTCCGTCTGCACAGCGGTTTTAAAATGATAAGTGGTCTAAGCCAAGCTTCCTTGATAGGCAACCAGACTTTGGCTATATCAGAAAAAATTGTTTATTATTTATAGAAAAACTTGTTTATTATTTTATTATTAAACTTGTTTATTATTTTTAAATGTTAGTATTTTAAAAACTTGTTTATTATTTTCTAAATGTTCTATCTTTTCAACTTTATGACACTCTGTATAACAGCCGACCAGTCACACCGAAGTAAACATCGGTCGACGATTTCGCCGAGTCAGCTACACATTTATGCATATGCAACTTTCTCTTCCCTTACTGACTATGGCTTAAACTCTGCTAAACAGGTATGAAAGGAATTATGACGTTTATGCCTTAAACTACAAAGCTTTTTGACGACAAAACCGTTGTCTGAACGAAACTTTACACCGTCTTGGCGTAAAGTTAAACAGTAAGAACATTGAAACAAAATCCTTATACCAGATTCCGTGACGTAGCAATGGCAGGTTGCATAACAGCAGAAGTTAAGCGTACGCTGATTGTGACCTTTAGCCCTGTTTTAGACGTTTTACATAGTTTCTTATTTCATGTTGGGCGTAGCGTATTGTAGCGTTTCTAATTATAATATTAATGCATTCTTGAAACTCTATTTCTTGATCAAAGAATATATGTTTAACCAAACGTTTTTAGCAGGTCATGTACACCAATACAAAATAACTAATAACATTTATCGAGGCATCTTGTAGAGAAGACACTGATGTTATTGTACAATGAAAAATAATAAAAATTCTATTTAATGCAGTTGAAACATGTGTTAACATATTCTCTGACTAAATGATAGGTTTCTTAAATTCAGTAAGAGTCAACATCAGAAGAAATGTTACTTAAGATAGTTTTTTTTTTTTTTTTTTTTTTTTTTGGTCACGCTTTTCCAGGTATAGAGATTAGGCAAGGACTGGGCAATGATTGAACTTTTGTAACAATGATGTATAAAAGAAGGCAGCGCAGAGAAATTTAGAAACACTGGAACTAAATCTTTTTGAACCGTAAAAAAAATATTCTTAACTTTCTTGAAAAGTGGTATAATAAAGAATATTCAGAATATCACTGCTATTTGAATTTTATTTTTAATATTTATCTCACTACATTAAATATAATATATAAATATTACATTATTGGGTACTCGCAGTATAACTAATGCGGCCAGTAGTATAAGCCATAGTTCTGTGCAAGGAACTAAAGTTCTTTTTTGATTTTTAAGTTAATTTTGTTAGCAAACATGCTGACGGATTATTTGAAGGAAAGCACCTAAGGGCTATCTGCATAAGCTCCATGTTAGATATGAAGGAGAAAACCCTACAGAATAAAAGAAAGCTATTCGTAAGAAATTTCAGGAGAGATTGTCATTACCTGAGTTCTTCGCAGACTTCAGTTGCCCTTTTCTTGATGTCAAATGGGCACGTTGGGGGCATACATCTTTCTAGTGATCCCACACTCCAACTGTCTCCAAATGTTTCAGTGTCTTTCACCAGCCTGCCATCTGGTGTAGTTTTATCGTCAAACTGTTCCTTGTTGTACAACCCACATAAGCCGGCTATTTGGCCAATAAGGCATTTTGAAACCTGCAACATAAAATATTTCGTTTTTCATATTTGATAAGTAAACATAATAAAATCATATACAATTATACATGGAAAAAATATTCCAATTTTAAATTTACATCTAAGAAATATTTTTCTTTAAATATACAGTGGTTTTTAGGAATTATGTTTCACAAATTACAGTTTTAAAGAAAATCGGCATGGGTTTCTCTTTCAGTTTAACAACTAAATCTTAGGCAATGGTTAGGGATTTACAGTTTCTTATGGCTGACAAATACTGAGTTATAAGTTACGAAATAAACAGTTGTCTGTTAGTGACGTTAACAAAAACAACAGAAATAATAATAATGGATACTTCTTCTTTTCGTTTGTGTTAATCTTCTTCGAAACATATAGCCTTTTTCTCATTAAACAAGCGTCAATCTAAGGTCGAACTTATCAAGTTTAAATCGGTATAAATTTCAAAAGCATTTAAAATATATTTTTTTTATTACATACTTTAACAAAAGTCCGTTTATAAGAAGGTCTTGGTCTAATATTCTGGTCCATTATTTTGCAATCAGTATGCCTTCAGAAATTTTTTGACAATTTCAAAACAGTTTGTCCTATTTTTCACGATTTAGAAATATGGGTTTGATTAATTATTTTCACTGAAATACCTATTTGATTAATAACTGGAAAACTAAAACCTTTGCTTAGTAGTAACTTCAGTAGAAGCTGAGTTTTCATGAAAGATGAATTATGATCCTTATTCTTAAATGCAGAATTTATTCTATGTAAAAATAGCTTGTAAAATTAAAATAGAATATGCAAGAATAATACAAGAAAGACAAATTATAAAATTGCATTTGGTACGAACACACGCAGAATCCTCTCAAGCGATGACGTTTTCGTAGCTAACCGAAAGTAAAACTTTTCATTAGAATTCATTTGTAGGAAGAGTATTATATCACCTCTAAAAGCAATTAATTTTCCATGACCTACTTCTTATTAATTAGCAGGACGTTCCTCCCCCATTACGCGCTATTTACTGTCATCCCCTTGTTTTGCGTTCGAATAAACTATATGAACACAATTGGTGCATCAGGATGCTTGTTCTGCGCTATTCATATTAGTTAAGCCTAATTATAAAACAGCATCTACAATTTTACATTATAATAAATTATAGTGTAATGAATTTGCAAAATACTGACCTGTATTGCGGCATCATGAAGGTTGTCCCAAATGACATCGAAATTATACTTTTTCGATCGGAAAATCAGAGTATTGCCTTTCTTTTTGAGATCAAAATTATCCTTGAACCGTTGAGATACCAGCCACAGGTTGCTCGTAGGAACAACGGTATCTTGAATGGTGATATCTTCAATACTAGGGCCTATTTTAAAGTTTAAGCCATCCACTTCTATGATGAGATATCGTATACAGGAATTAGCATTTTCAGGTAAACACGTCTTGTGAACTGGGAACGAAAACAAAAGAATTACGCCAAGTTCTAAATTCGATGAATTTAGATCAACAATACAACGCTGTAAAATACATATGGCATTGCTCTGCTGTTTAGAAGTTTTGTCCTTTTTCTATTAGACGGTATCATTTTAGAATTTTCCAGGAACTGAATAAACATTTTTCAACAGATGAGGGTTTTTCGATTTTTATTATTTTTATTTTAGAGCATTTTTATCGCAATGCGTCCCAGTCTAAGACAGAAGACCGCTGAAGTCATAAGCTCAAAATGGTTTGAAAACCAGTTCAAGAGATAATTGTAGTTTAACAGTTTCGTCTATGAAAACGAATCCTTATTGTTAAACCAATTAATGCAGCGTTGTAATTAATAAAAGTTATCAATAAAGCATTTTAAATAAATAAAACGTTCCATATAGACATTAAATTCCAAGGCTACTCTTATAGCCTATTTAGCTACGTTCTGTTGAAAATAAATAAATTACATTATTTTTAATACAGTAAATTTTTGTCGGAGAAAACAGTTTATATTTTCATTAAATTCTAAAAGAGTCATTGAACCAATACGAAATTTAAGAGTCAAAGGTTACCAAGATATTCCTTATTTAGCTATTATTATTTAAAACAACATAATTCAATATTTTTCATAAGACAAATTTTTATTTATGAAAGTGTATGGAATAGGCGTAATAGCAACGAGCTTTAAATAAACTATCACTTTCGGTTGATCGCTTGTAAATAAAATCTAATTTGCTTACAAATTTGTCTTCACGTTTCGATTTGAAAATTTTCCATCTATAGTAGAATATCCTTTGGTCATACAGCGGATTCTTAAAACAATTGATTTAACAATCACAAATCACAAAATTGTTAATAGCATCATACCTTTAGAATTCCTGATAAAACGTTAAATGTTGCGATGCATTTATTTTTATACTCGATATAGTATTTCTTTAAAAATAATGCATAGAGATAATATTTAGTGGCAGCAACCTTTTGTCTGAAATGTGATCGACATAAAAGTGAAACGAACGCATTGAGAATTAAGGCTAATACATTTATAATTGCTTCATAACCAGAACTCGTCTTGTATTGTACTTATTCTCGTTAGCATTATTCCAAGAATACATTTCGTACTTCTAAATGTAATATATTGTTCTTAATCACATACTAATATTAAAAATCAAATTTTAGAAGTTTGGGATTATCTCGTAGTATATTTTCAATGAAAGTCTGCTCAAAACTTCAAAGTAAAGTACCACTTCTGATTCATCCATATGAACCAAAATCTAATATGCTGTTCCCATTAGTATAAAAATCTCAAATGCAGACACATTTTAAACGACTTTCATTGCAGTTACAGAAATATTTTACCTAAAATTTTTATCTTTTAAATGTTCTGTTTCATAACCTTTCTTATTTATACACCGTAATTTCTAAGACAATAAAGCCTTTTGTAGTACCGGAAGAGGTATTTTACCCCATTGCTCTCGAACAGCTTTCGAAAGTGTAAGGAGGTTGTAGGTCGAGGCCCGGGCAACCCTCCTTAAAAGTCAGAAAGCGCAAAAACACTACATTGACGATAGCTCAGGAGAATAGGGATACGAGTGAAGGGTATGGCTTTGATATCCATTTCCCGTTCCATTTCTTCCAGGAAATTAACGATAGATATTGACGTGTCCCTGCTTGCTTTGTCTTGATGCAGTTCTACTGATTGATAACGCTGTGTGTAAAGAGAAGGTATTTTATATTTGAAAATTTTATATAAAATATGTCTTGGGTAATAGCTGGAGCTGATAGTAACACATTTTTCTCCACTCTTTATTTTTAATTTGCTTTTATATGAAAAACCAGCAGCAATCATTAATTCCTTCGAAAAACTTTCTTTAGATTCCTTGAACCATGTTTTAAGATTTTTTCCTCCACTTTGATGATAATAAATGGATCTAAGTCGAATCTTGGGTGTACTTAAATGCATTCATTTAAGTACACCCAAGATTCGCCTATTATGACAATATGTTTCTATTTTTGTCTGGATAAATGTTTCTCATAAAGAATTTTGCACAGCCTTCTGCGTTCGCTGATGTGCCGTGGAAAAAGACGATGCTCATTATGTTTTTCTACTTTTTATGATCCATTATTTTATGATCAGCATTAATCACTTTGTTTATAGTTAACACGGAGCAATTTAATGATTTTGGAGATGTCCTTTGACTCGGCCGATTTTCTTTACCATTAAAAATCTAACTTTTGCAACATTCGAAGCATTCCGATTTTTTACTTGGGTATGTTATGTGGGAGCACATTCTTCGACTCCCTCTACTTCTATTTCTACCCAGCAAGGCGTGACGACATCACAGCTTAGCGCAGCTTGCAGAGCGGCAGACGACCGTTGGAAGTGCTGAGAACAAGACGTGTTCCACGCGCAGAGGCAGATGTAGCCAAGCTGAAATGCTTACATAGAGCTAGCCATATGCAGTGGCGTAACTAGAACTCTTGGGCCCCTTTCCCAATAAATTTAATGTGCTTAAAAAAAAAAAAAAAAAATCAAGGATTTTAGGAGCCAATGTTTTCATGATGATTTTTATCACATCTGGAGTAATTGTTAAAAAATAAAAGCACGTTCTTAGGGAACCAGTTGAAAGGCACGTAACATGAAGAAGGAATAAAAAGGAAAATAATTTCCCTTGACCAACTGGTAAAATGAAAATTTGCTTTAGTCTGGGTATTGACGTCAGATGATTTTTAATTCGCTACTTAAGACTTTTGGTGAGTGCGAGAGACAGATTTTTCTCTCCTTTCACTGAGATGCATACTGATAATGAATAAGTCTATATAGAAAAGGAACATGTCGGACGTATAGCATTAAAAAAAAGAAGAAACCTAGATTTGCGGAGATTTTTTATATAAATCCAAGAAGTTTTACATACTAATGTTTTAAATTTTATAAAAATCTGCGCCTATCGCCTATCTAAGTTTTTTCGCTTAAGTTAGCAAACTTATAATAATTAGTTATATGTAAACTGACAGACAAGATATTTGATAACGTACAGGAAGGCTATTACATTAATGTATAGTGATATCAAATTGGCGAGTTCGTACCCTACCTTTCGAACATGATTTATGCAATAATTTACAAGTAAAAATAATGTAAATGATGCATTGTTAAATAATAAAACATATTTCCTAAAAACTTCATAAAGAAAAACCATTAGTTTTGTAGAAAATATGTATGTAAAGTTTTTTCTGTCTTTTTTATAAAACCTTTGGTAACACTAAACTACTGAACCATGATTTTTATAAAAAAGCTAAAAAAGAATGATAAAGTTTTATACTGTTTCCTTTTTCATTTTCCTCAGTCTGTACTGCTCTTCTTTTCTAATTTTTTCCTCCCTCAATAAGTGTAATGATAACATTGGTGGCCAAAATTCTTCATAAAGAAAAAAATCCTTCTTTTAAAATTTGCGTCTCCTAACCTTCATTTCCGCAAAATTATTTATCAATAATTGGACGTCAATTTTCTCAGCCATCTTAGCTTCAACGCTCAATAGTGAAAGGTTTGACAACCGATCTTGCATCAATACTGTTTTAAAAACTCTTATGGGCTTTAAGTAAAGTACCACTTCCCCTTCTTCGGTTTTACCTAAAAATCTAATCAACTTTTTATATGAATGCAAAAAGTTAAAATATAGGAAACAGAAGTTTTTGGATATTTCGTATAAGTGTTATCGTGGACGAAAAAAATCGTCAAGCATATATACCCAGGCACACAAACACACAAACAAATCATTGTAAAAAACATTGTATATCTTTGTAAAATCAGTGTAAAAACTGTCAAAACGTGTTGCAGGGACCATAATACGGGCTTATTCACTGAAAACTCACTGTGAAATTTTTAAACCGAAAGCATTCCTCTCCTTACCTATGTATATAGGTTGGCGGGAAGTAAAAAAACGTCCCCGTTAACACACTTAAAGTCCGATGTTACTATAGGCTATACCCATTTAACTTGTGAGTAAATCAAATCTCACTACAGTCACGAATTATAAACATTGTTTTATTATGAGGTATCATACCTAATCTTTATTGCTACTTCATCGCATAACTCTATAGTGTAGTGCGTTAAGCGTAAACGTCAGACATGAAAATACATGGAAAAGTAATACTTGAAGTGTTACATGGATATTTAGCAAGATAAAAATAGGAAGACACAGTGCTCATTAAAAAAATCTCGTTGATATTCAATATGTAAAAGATATTAAAACACATTTATAAGTTTTAGAACAAAGAAAATTATCTCAAAATATCAGCAGTCTTATTAAGAAATTAACTATTATGACTCCACATATCTGGCAGAAGTGATTGCTTAAGATAACATGAGAGAGACTGCATAAGTCACATGTCATTCCTTTCAAACTTGGACTGTTAATTAATTATAGGCATCGTTTTTATGTTTGCTTGATTTACAGTACGATTCAAAAGTCCTTGAATTCTCGTGGCACTACTTTAATAACGGAAAATATTTTTGAGTATTTCTGCTTGAAATAAATGTTGATGAAATTATTTCCGTTGAAGAGCTCTTACCCTTTGTAAGACAGAATATTAAATAATAGGAACAGAGATGGAAAGAAAGAACAGTCAATGCGCCATGACTCCCACAAAAGAACACAGGATTGCTCAGTAGAAGAACTTAGAAGTAACTACCAGACACTAACATAAACATCCAAGCATGCTATCCCAATCTGCATTTAAAGTGACATAGAAAAATAGTTTATCGTCGTATGGATTTGCGTACTGAAGAACAGTGTGGTCATTTCTAGCATCTTTTGCAAAGGGACCGACCTTTTTCTGTTTACATTTATACGTATTTATTTAATTTACTTAAAAATTAATTTTACTTTGAAGCAACCTTTCCTACCGCTGTTGCTTTCAACTCAAGCTTTCTTGCCAGAATGATATTTCAGTTTCGCGCGTTATACAAAGTAGGGTAGTAAAATACAATTTAAGTAGATGTCTGAGTTACTTCAGACAGAGCGTGTTGTGACTTTCGACCACATTTTTCGCTGATATTTAAGCTTGCTATTTTAACGCTATGCAGTTAAGTACCGATTTGTGTACATCAGTGGTAGGGCTAAGAGCCAGCTCGTGTTAATATTCGCTGAGCAGCGTCGACTGATTATTTCACTTAGTTTTATGTTTCTAACTTACAGTCAAACGTATAGTTTACTTTTGTAAGTACTACGGTGCCGACTCTAAATCCTTTCTTGAGTTGAATAAAAGTATCTTTTCACCCTTCATATGTTTTGTCAATGATACAGTTGAACTTAGTTTCACAGTTCAAGTAAAGATCTAGCAGCAAAAGTAACTTTAGCTAGAATCTTACAACATTGTAATTTAGTAAGCCTACTTGTTAATATTACACACACCCTAAAAATAATTCAACTGAAAAATAAACATGTCTCCTTTTAAATTAAAATCTGAGATCTATTACCTCTGTTAAATTTACAATTTAAAGCTGTTAATTTGAAAAGGTGTTTTTACAAACAATATGATGAGGTCTTAAATTTTACTAATTGTGTACTGTGGTACAGTTAATGCAAACTGGCGAGGCGACTTTTGTTAGCTTGCTTTTGTAGGGGTGTTTTACATCTTGTTATATGATTTTGTATTTTACACCGGCGAGTTCAATTTGAGAACATTCACGAGTTTCCCACTGATTTGTTGAATTAAGGTGTGCAATAGTGGAGCAACAAGTTTTAATAACAAATAACAAAAATCAGGTTAAGAATACTTACCTGTCACAGAATATGAATTTGAAGACAAATCTTTCATGAGCACGTGATCACAAATTTCATACTCGTACGTTGTGCCATCAAACGTTTCAAACACATTCGCAATCATTTCACAAGTATCCGTGTCTAAGGGAAAGAGTTTAGCAACATATTAGATATTTTAAGTAAAGTTACAAACGTAACTATTATTGCAATCAATAATAATTAAGGCATAAAAACATGGAAAATATCTTAGAATTTCTTTCAAAATGGATTTATCTCTACCATGCCACGAATCACACATAAAAGATGATCAGAACAGATTATTAAAATTCGACTGTAGTATTGCTGATAACAGACGATCATAATACGAGCAGATTTGCATAGATAAATTTGAACGAAAAGTTGAATAAGGCTTACTGGCAATAATGACAGCTACGATAGAACCTTACTGTCTAAGCACTTGAACAACACTAAAGCTTCCGAAACGACTTTCTCATGCTAGCATTGAACTTACGACCTAAAGCTGCTGTTATGAATTGCAACTTGCATCGCATTATTAACTCTTGCAAAGTAGCCCAGAGAGTATAGTGATTAGTAACGTTGACGGCCGTACTAGTTTGCCCGGGTTCGAATAGCAGAGAAGGCATGAACTTTTGTAAATCAGCAGTATCTGTGAGGCATGCACATTCACAAAGCCTACAGACCATTTCTACTACGGTCTGCTCTCATTGGATGAAACATCTTCTTGGCAGTCACCATATTTGAAACGGCGAATTATCGCCCTGTAGGCGTAGTAATTAACGCCAAACAAACCTTATGAGCTTTCAGTACAGCGAGGAGAACATAATTTATTTCACTCGATAATTTTTTGTTTTATGAATGCAAGCTAAGGGGAATTGTGTGGAATATATTTTAAATAACCTACTGATCTTATTAATAGTTTATCTGTATTTGAGTTTAAACTATTAAAAGTACGATAATTGTTTTGCATGAAAAAGTGTTTACATGGAAATAGTATATGTACTATTTAGTAATTTCTGTTAGAAGGAGTCTGTTGTGTAAATTTCCCATATAACATTAATTTATACAAATAAAGGAATATTAAAAACTTAACCAAATGAAAACATTCAGTAACATTAAAGGCATCAGTTACCTATTCTTTTTACCCAAATTATAAGTAAGTATAACTAAAATTATATTTTATTCCATTATGTGCTATTTCTATTGAAAAGCTTTTCGGGATCTTTGGATTGTAATCTTGCTACTGGTACCTACTACAAAAAGTACAAACAGGTAAATAAAAATAAGAAAAATTAGCATTCATATATAAATAGAGAAAATAAAGGTATTAAATTTTTAACACTGCACCCGACGGCGAAAAGACAAATAATGACAAAATCATTCAGTAAAGTTAGGATAAAAATAAATCCGTGCAGGGCAGAGTTAATAAAAGTCACCAGCGAGGATAGAACCGGCGATCTAGAAGCCCGAAAATTGCTTCAATGCTCGTTACCGCTCGGCTGCGGTTTCTGCGACGGCTCCTGCACACTTTTTGGTGCACAATGCTCATATACAAATAGTAAAGGCGATGAAGCAAAAGTCTCCAAGCACAAGATTCTGTAACCCTACGTTTCCTGTTTTAGCCAATCGGAGCAAACAGTAGCAGAAACGGCCTGTATAGGCTTTGTGAATAAACGTGTGGCATGGGGGCTTTCAAAATATACAGTTAGCTGGTGAGGAGAAGAATACAAGCGGTCGGTGGCAATAGAAACTATCAAAAATCTTCTGAAAAAGTGCGGAAAGGAATCGTCGCAGTCGCAGCCAAAAAGACATAAAGTCAAACTAAGATGAACAGAATGCCATATAATGTTCAACAATTTCAGCACCATTCTGATGATTTTAAGATAACTTCTTGAAACCAGGATCTCCCAAAAATCAAAGGCAGACGTGCACGAAGAGCAAAAACTGCGGACTATTCCATCTTCCAGACTCATATTAAACTACAGTGAAAAATTGTGAAACTGCATGCATATAACTTTAAAACTTTTCCTTCATAGTAACCTATAGGAAAAGCGCATCGCATAGTAAACAGTTAATATTACAGATGCTGTTCAGGAAAGAACTGCGTTTATCATCCGAGGTACTACAGCAGTGATAGCGAACCTATGGCACGTGTGCCACAGTCGGCACGCAGAGCCTCATCAGCTGGCACACGCCTTAAGTATTACTTTCTTAATCAATAATCACAATAAAGTGATACTATGTAATTTAAATAAGTGTTTTAGTCTGTTTTTGAATGTTTCACTTACTTTCTTATCGCATAAAAAATACCACTGGCATAGGGCCTAAGCCTAGATATAAGATTTTCATATATCGCCATAGAAATGATATACATACTTATTGACCGAATTTAAGAAGTTTCAATTGTTTTGGATAATCGTATTACTTGTTACATGGCAAAGAATACGCCAAAGTTGAAGCCGCTAATGTTTGCTAAACGAATTCAAATTTATTGCAGACTGCTGGTGAGTTTTATTACTTTGTTAAATAGATTCCAGTTTTCAGATGTAAGCATTTGGAGGTAACTTATGAATAATTCTAATTTAATATCTTAAACGGAATGGCACGCGGCCATTCCATTTTGGGCACGCATCCCCGAAAAGGTTCACCACCACTGTACTACAATATGCTTAATAATTAGATTCATTTATTTCAAGACTAGAGGCATACGGTTGCACATTGAAATGATTTAAAGTGAACAGCACATCGATCTATTTATCATGCAAACAGAAGACACTTATCTCTAAGGCTATCTGTTGGATTTAATCGGACTGCATGAAACATGTAATACATACCTGATGGGGAATCTGTCGTACATGTTTTGGGCAGTTTCGTCGTTATAGCAACAGTAGTGGTTGTTGTCGGTGGCATAGCTAAAATGAAAAGATTATGTGCAATTACATATGAATTTAAAATAAAAGATTGAGGTTATTATTAAATTATTTCACATATTGGTTATGATAAAAACCACAAGTAAATAACTACTAATAACCTCTTAGACATATGTTGTGTAGCGAATTTAATTTAATTGATTCATAAAAATTAAAAAATTTTAATTTGTAATTATTCAAAATTTGAGCTACACAAGTTTGGTTATATTTTTTTTGGCCTATTAATTCTGGTGTAATCTATTTTGGCTTTCCGAGTTTACGCGAACTGCGTCTTCAATCTTGTACACGCAAACAATGGATAAGTATTTTTTTTTCACGTAATAAACTCAGTTTTTCATGTCAAAAATTAATTTGATTTCTTAGTATTTAATATCATTAGTTGCAGAAAAATTAGCTCTTTAATTTGGCATAACTTTCGTTTTTTCTAACTTTAATTGCATTTCAGTTATGAGCTTTAATTAGTAGATTTTTCTTCGTTTGCTTGTGATTTAGTTAAAGTTAAAGGGGGATGAAATGCCTTCTTTCCGGTTGAAAAGTCACTTTTTGCGAGTTTTCAGCGTTCTTTTCGTTGGGACCCTTGCAGGGTTGTTGAAATTCCTAATTTTCCCCTGTCACAGGTGGTGTTTATTTGGCGAGGGTTTGGCGACATAGAATTTTCCGTTGAGGTTTCAAAGTAGTGGATTTTGGCGAGTTTGATAACATGAGGGTATGCTGTTGTTGCAACTATTTTAAACTTTCGGCGAAGAATGGGTTGTGCCAACTTGGCAGTCCGGCGTCCTCCCTTTTAACGGGATGTTTTGAGGGACAATGTCACTTTATTGCACTTTTGACTTACCATCGGACGCTGTACTCGCTGGCAGCTGAATTTTTTTTTTGGAAAATGCATTTTTCCACCTTTGGATCTACGGGCTTCTTGCCCTTGAGTTTTGAACGAGGGACTTAGTTTTATGCATCATGACCTCGACTAAATTATAGTCTCATCAGTTTTTTTTGTGTTTGAATATGTAAGTTACTCAAAAGATAATTAAATATAGAAAAATGCTACGAAAGGTGATGCCTAGTATTTGTGCCGTTAAGAAGAAAATTTCAGTTTCTCCTCCACGAATAGAGTCTTCATCTGTCTCGATGTTTCTTCCACGCCTTTAAGAATTATTTTCCGCTATGCAAGAAATTCCTTCACTGCTAGCTCCGGGGTCGCTACAACAGAATGCATCACTTGGCTTGAGTCTACTCCTCGTTGCGTCTACGACCTGTGAGGATGGATTCGTCGATTCCATTAACCGATTTACTGATGTAACTTCAGAATTCTTCTCTTTGCTGAACGACTACCAACTTCAATATTGGATTGTAAATCAACTATCATAAGAACTTGGAACCTCTATAGTGCATCCTAAATCAACTAGAAAAACTTCTCGGCTCCATTGAAAATTCATCTCCATATATGAACTCTTCTCCTTTCCACCACGCTTGGCAGCCGTCCTCCTTGGCATCAATGATAATTTTTTTATAGGGGTTTTCTCCTCCTCCTATTCACTTGCCGCCTGTGATTTCTCAGATAAGTCTTTTTGTTTTCTTTTATTTGTTAGTCTGATGTTAAAAAAAATTCTGCAGTTAATAGTGATTGAAATAACTTAATTAGTTGAATTAAAATATTGTAGTTGAGTAAATTAACCTAATTCTAATGAAATCATTTTGTTTGTCCATAAATTATTAGATTGGCTAAGGAAATATATCCTTATTTAAATTATTTAATTGAAACAGTGAATGTAACTTAGTTAGATTGGTTAAGGAAATATATCCTTATTTAAATTATTTAATTGAACTTGTGAATTTCTTTCATGGTGAGGATTGATTGGTAAAGGTGTCATTATTTGAGCTTCTTTGCTCCTCTTAGGGACTAAATTGCTTGTAGGATGTAATAGCCTGATTTTAATTAACATTTTACCCGGTTAAATCATTCTTTTTGAAAATAGAAAGTTACTATGTGCAATAACCTGAATTACATTGGTATTGATTATTCTGTGTGAAATGCTTTTTTTTTTTTTTTGGAAAGTGTAACTTGTTAATTATTCTTTTTTTTTCTCCCCGGGGAGGGTATTGTTAATTTATCCAAAGTTTTATCTGATTATGTTTACCTGAATGTAATAGAAATAATAGTTTGATATTATTGAGTCTAAGATAAAAGTAATATTACTCTGTAGGGGTATGCATTTGTAGAAAGCAATATTTTACAGTTCAGCTTGAATATAATTTGCTTACTAAGTTAATTCTGCATTGTGTAATCATCAATATGTTACAGTTCTGATTGAATATAAATTGCTTTCAAATTAATGGATTAAGTAATTCTTGAAGAATTTAATAAATAGGCTCACTTTTCTAGATCAGTCAATGTTTATTTATTTTTTTTGTGTGTGCTCATGATTTTCACTAGTCTCTTTCTCAAATTGATTTCAGGGTTAATCCGAAAACACAACGCAAATGTACAGGTCTTATTGATATTAGTATATTACTGTTGTTAGAAAATTTTAAGTGTTTTGTCAACTGAGTAGGAAACCTTTTAGGTACCTACGTTACCTTAAATTTTAAACCATAACAATTTTTGGTGCCATTCAAAAAATAATTAAAACACCATAACACATAAAACAATTAGAATAAAAACATTTCCTAAATACTAATAAGTATAGGGACCGGAAAAAAGTATAAAAAAGTTAAAGAGATTAACTTTTACAAAATTGATTTCTTTAAATTCAAAAATGCCACAACATGAATATTTGCGTCGTTTATAATATTTTTGTAATTGGAAGTGTAACGACGACTAACAACTGGGAAAATAAAGGCTGGCGAAGGACTTTTGAGGACAGGTGCATATGCAAATGTTAGGGGTACTATAGAGTAGATCGTCAAAGAACTCACGACCAGTATAGAATCCTTTAGCACAGAAATGCAAGTTTTATTAATAGAAGAAAAAAAAAAACAAAAAAACAAAAAAACAAACAAAAAAAAAAAAAAAAAAAAAAAAAAAAAAAAAAAAAAAAAAAAAAACGAAAGTTTGAAAAGGAAACCCATAGAGATTTCAAAGGAGCTCTTTTTTGTTAGTAACGCCAAATAACCGTAAGATAATTAATTCTCAAGTAATGTTTTTACTGTTTTTACATTTGCTACTATCAGCTTGCTTCTGCATTTGGGAAAATTTATATTAATTTTATCACTTTTATGTTAAAGTAAATAATATCAAAATACGATGACTGAATTTCTAAATCTCTTTAGCATAACTACCACGCCTAATTTTTAAAACTATGGGAAGAAAATTTTAGGTTAAAAAAAATCTGTGTTTTAGCTTCAGGCAAAAGAGACAGCGATCCTTACAAAATAACAAAACGCAGTTCCTTACTTGTTGGACAATTAATCTCATCATCCGGACAGTCTGCTATGCCGTCACACCACTGTTCCTCACGGATGCAGTACCCATTGCTAGGGCACAAGACTTTTCCTTCCTCGCAGCCAACGCATTCGCAGTTGCAGTGTTCATCCATCTGGCTTATCTGACCCTGAAACAAGATTTTTAAGTACTCTTTCAAAATATTTCTTTTTCATGTTCCCAATCCACTCGAATTAAAAATATATATGCCGTATCTTAAAATGACCCATTAATATAAATTATGATGTCTCTGAAGACAGAGCTGAACCGTAGTTATTAATTTATTAGTTCGGATTTTTTTTAAACTTGAATCGCTGGGAAATTTTAAATAATGCATGGTTTCTTGTTATAATTAAAACTCCAATCTAGTCTGTTCCTTGCTTCCTTATAACACTGGAGTACAATATTAAAGGATAATTTAGAACATTTAAAATGCTAAGCAGGCAAGATGCTGCAATAAACCTGGGTTGTGATTTCTTTATATAGAGATACATTATATTATTTACATGCCAAAGTGCTGATGTGCAAAATTTGTGAAAAGAAATGCGTATAAATATGGTTATATATATATATATATATATATATAAAAACAGAAATCATGAAACTTCCGCTATTCTCTTTAGAAAGGCTTGGTTCCGTATGGAATCGATAAGATCATATGTCAAAGATCGCATGTTATTACACGATTATCAGCGTGAGCAAATGCCAAAGATTCCGTTATTGAAAAGGATTGTATTTCCTCAGAAGATATTTTGTTATATACAAAGCACTTGTAAAATTTAAAGGAAGATTTTAATGTTCGCTTCCAAGACATTGAAAATGTGAAATGCACGGCTCACAGAACCACTGAACTGAGATATGTCTGGTCCTGATATTATGATGCAAGAAGAATTGATCAAATTTAAAGTCACCTGAGAGAAATATCCCAATATGAGTTGTTACCAAAGCAATATTTTTGACTTTTCCTTCTTCTTATCTAGTAAAAGAAGGCTCTAACAAGTTAATGTTACGAATTTTATATCGATGTAACTAATTTTAGGGAAATTATATGTGAAATGGCAGTACTTTTTGTATAACGTAATACGAAATGCTTGAAAGAGACGAAGCTCTGACCGAAACATATGATTACAGGGACAAGTCTACTTAAAATCGAAGTAAATGGCTATCTCGCTAAATTGGAGAGATATCGCCCCCAAGCTAGCGATAGTTTTGGTGACTAATTTTTATACCCAAATTTGGTGAGACAAAAGTCGCCAGACTTGGCGGCTATTTGGCGAGATTTAGATCCGGTCTCTGTATAACTGTAATTGATTTCTGTATTTTGCTGTGACCATATCCGGCCCTCATATACCTTCCAGTAATTTCGAGAAGTGAAAGGTACTAGAGAATTCTTGGTGACCGGGAAAAGTATATTAGGCCGAGGAGAGTATCAATTTCTCACTTGTTTAGCTCAGCGTGAGTTCGGAGTATTGACAGATGTCCGTGGGAGCTTCGCCTTTTTTGATCCGCTTTGTAATGCGCTGTGTTCAACGTTCTTAGCAGTTTGAAACGCAACTTCTGAAAGGAGTTGCACAAGTTTTTCTTACGAATTAATTTAATTTTTGTTAAATGTTCCAGAGCTGTGAAGTATTTCTTTTGGTAAAATAAATATTATCCAGCTATCGTCGGTTCTCTGCTCACCCATTTCGTTACGAATCCGTACGCATGTAACAATAATTTACTGCATGTAACAACAAACAGGTTGAACATTTTTGAGCGAGGTGATTTAAAAATTAATTAAGCAATTTTATGCAAAAAAAAAAAAAAAAACTACATCAATACCTCAAGCGAATGCCATAAAATAAATTAAAATCGATATTTTATGCAGTTAGAATATGTGATTATGTTCTCATAACTCGTTCCTATTTGCAAAATTAAAAAAAAAATAATAATACTTAAGCATAAATATAACAAAGCAAATACTTTTAAAACTTTAGTTCATATTCTTACTCTAGCTATTATTTAAGTTATTTCGGTGCAATTATTTATATTATGATTAAATTGTATGTTGTGTATATTATAGAGAAAAATATAAGGGAGTGGAGGAAGAAAAAATTATTCTTTGAAAGGGGGGTTGTTTTAAGAGAATGTTTGGGAATCCCTGAACTAAATGATGGCTTTATAAGACATATTTAATACTATCTAAATGCTCACTAATTTACTAGTCTATTTATAATTAGAATACAGATATAAATATATACCAGTTATGGCGCGCATTTGAACATTTCACGCGTTCTTTTTGTTTTTCATATTCTCAGCACTAACAGAAACAGTGGTAAATTTCCAATTTAACAGCTTCACCTATGCATAAATTTATTTTCATAAAGCTTTTAATAGTCGCGTATTAAGTGTAGCGTTATTTAAGCTATTTCGAAATTTTTATACATCGGTATAATTTTTATGAATATCAGGAATCACATGCCTCAATAAAAATGTACAAAAAATATTAAAAAAATTTCAAGTTTATGAATTCTCTTTTGATGTATATCTAGATCATTCTTAAATGTAAAAGAAAGTCCTTGGTTTCTAATTAAATGTCCATGTAGAAATAAAAATCGAGAATTACAATCTAAAATTTAATTTCTGTAACTTACAGGTAAACAATCCGGACATTGTATTGGCTTACAGATCGAGTGACCCTCTATGATGCAATCGCAACGCTCACAGTTTTTGGTGACTGCAATATTAGATGGCTGAAAAGGAAAGGAGAGAAAAAGATTCAAAGCATAAAAAGAGATAAAGAACATAAACTTTCTAAGAATATATACATAACCAATATAAAGAATATACATATGCATAGTACTATATAAAGAACTGTATACACATATATAAACTACGTAAAGAATCCAGAGATAAAAAGAAAGAGAATTACAAAAAGATCAGATTCCACATAATTATAAGTAAGCTTATTTTTTTAGAAAGCTATATTTGTGCATAAAATTCCATTAGTTAGTTAAAACATGCCAGTTCATTTTAGCAAAATATTGCCACGGCGATAAGAACTGAACAAAAATTTAAAAGAGATTTAGAAAGAATGTTAAAAGCAAGACAGCTAACAAAGATTTGTATAAGAAAGAATAAGGGAAAAATGTAATCCAATTGCCTTACTTCGAATCGTTTGCCGTCTTTAAAGCACGGACAGTCAATGCGAGGAACGCAAGTGGATCCGTCACATGCAGAATTGTAAGGGCAGGACACAGGACAGTTCTCCTTGAGGTATTCTGGAACTTCGGGGCATATTTCCAGAGGAATAAGCTCCGTGGTGGTAGTCTCCATCCCTGCTCAAATAACGAACAAAGAATGTCAGTTATATGCTTTTTAATACGAAATTATGAAATAAATATCAAGAGCAGAAACAATTTATTCTGAGAGTAAATATGCTGTAAAGAAGCCAGATTATCGCCAAGCTGATGTTTCATTTATGGTAATTTGAGTATTTTACGGTGTATGTTTTGAAAACTCTATCATGGCGTGATTGATTGTAATGCGTGAGGGCTTATTTCTGCGTTGGATGTCGGTTAGGAAGTGCGTTGCTTATTTTGTGCTTTTCACCGTAAAATGGTCATACGAACAGATTGAAAATTCAAAGAATACAAAATAAAGACTTGAGAATCATAGCCAATGCTCCCTGGTTCGTAAGAAACTCCACTCTGCATAATGAACTTAGGATTAAACCTACAGACTCAGAAATTCTAAAATTCTCGCATAAATTCTTCCTCAAATGTGATCCAACACAACAAGGAAATTATTAAGAAATTGGGCAATTATGACTACGTCATACAGCAAAAGCATAAAAGACCTCCCACTATCCATCCTAATTCTAATGGTAGGGCTTGTTTATATTATCTAATATTTTTTTCACTTAAACATTTTATTTTCTGTTTATATTTAAAAAAGTTTTTATTTCGTACCTTCCAAAGAAGATTATTGTAACTGATATAGTAGGTTTTGTGGACTGTATTTGTATATATTGTATTATATTCTGCATGCGACAGCTCTATGGCGTAGTAGATAAGACACGCAATTGGAAACTTTCCATGACGGGTTCGAGTCCCGATAGAATTGTTTATGCGCATATACCTGTACAAAAGTGTTTCTCTTTTTTGAAACTTATTTTTATGCTCTTCAATGTATTTATGCCAAATAGAATTTGTCTCAAGAAACTATCTCAAGGAAAGTCTACTTCTTCAAAGTTATACCATTGCTTTATCCCATGGAATCGGATGGCGCCACATGAACGTCACTCCAAAGATATGCCATTACTGAAGATTCTAAAGTGAACAGATGGCGTCGTACTCCTTTCTCTTACGAGAACCCCACCCGGTGCTTTAAGACTTTCCGCTTGTTCGGATTTTTTTTCCTCATCTTTATGCCATTAGAACTTAAAAAATATAGACTAGTAAAGGTCTCAACAGGCCGCATGCCTTTTACACCAATGATGATCTGTGATCGTAAAATGGCTGCCGATGGTAAACTGGGTGTTTAGTGGTAACCGAAACTCATATCAACACTATCAAAGGTATATGGGATGTAATAAAAAAGGGATTTTCGAAAGAAATGCCATCGACAGTCGGGCACTACGGAGGATATTTTTGATTCTTACTTTTGTGAATTTATGTGGCGACGGCAGTATGCAGATTCTAGTTCAGATAATTTTAAATAGGTATTGGATGCTGTTAAGAAATTATGTGTACCACACACCGAAGTCAGAGAAATTTCTAAATAAGGAAAGTCGATATTTCCTTTTGTACTGCGCAGATTAGATAACATGCATTTCCATTTTTACGTTATTTCCTTGTTTTATTTTGATTTAAAATGCAGTTTACTTCGATTGTAATTTTTATGTTTTAATTATGGTTTCTTGCATTGTATTTCGCACGCCATTTTACTTGGGAAGGCTTTGCACGTAAACAGGAAATGGCCCTCCAAAATCGCCAATTTTCCCCAAGAGAGACCCTCAAATATATTTTTTCCTCCATTTGCGATAGTAATGTGTCTGTCAGAAATTCTTCCTTCAGAAAATGACCGAAAGTGTAATTTAGTACGCTGCATAACATCTGTTCAATTTTAAATTAAATGTCATAAATTTCTGTTTGATGAAAAATACAATGCATAAGTATATAAATATATTTTTACCCTTTCAGTTTTAGTTCCTGACCTGAATAAAATCTATACTACTCCCCTCCGCCCAAAATGGTGCAATATTCAACAAAATAATTTACGTTATAACGGTAATATGCGAGAAAAAAGAACTCCTAAACCTGTAAATTTGTTCGACGTTCGCGGACAAATCTGATATTAGGAAAATCTTTGAAAATTCTCTAATTTTCGAGAAAATAATCTCAAAAATTCACGCGTGATGAAGCTCTTGAGCTGAATTTTAATAACAATCTTTAAAAACATAAGTGAAAAATAAGGGAATTCTTTTCCGTTATATGTATTTGTGGCAGATGATTTTGACAATACAATTGTTGTAAATGATTTTATGCATATACAACCTGCATATAAAGGGGTGCATATTGTAACTGTTATTTACACAATAGGATGCAAAAAAAAAGTTTGGAAGTCGCTAATAATATAGAATAATGACTATCTTCAGAACTGTCATTGTGATGAGTGCTTTTTTGAGCAAGAAATGGAACGCGTGGAAAACTTCAAACATATTTTGTTTTCCATGAAAATCGTAAATTTGCCTATCGCTGACAAATCCGAGATCTTTTTCTTGCATCCGCTTAGAGAAGAAGGTTTTTGCCGTAGGTGTTAAACATAAGATAGTGCCTGAAATCGGAGGGGAGCGAATACATCAGATTCTTTTTCTGTCTCGTCTATCACAAAAAGATATCCTTCCGATTCCTTTATGGTAAAGTAAAAAGCAAATGGTTATGTAAATAATAAAGTCATATTTAATATAAAAATGTCACCCTGGTTTTTCTCAGGTAAGTTACAACATTTATTTGTATTACTATCAAATAAGCATGAATCTGATAGACGCACTCTCCAATAATCAGTTAACTTAGAGAACAACTATTTAAATATTTTGTTATATTTCAGGCTATTAGAACGGAATATACATAGAATACTTTCGGTTGCAATTAGGTTATTGTAATTGTTTATTATATACTTAAGTAGCATCGGATCGTTTAGAGCTCGTTCAAAGAGCACATCATTCGTTCTACGATGGTATTGCAAGCAGTTAGAATGGTCTTCATAACGCGCGCTAAAATGGCGCGGTTTACAACCATGTTCTTAGGATGTGTGTTTCAACGTAAAATGGGAACTTTCAAAGGGCAGTTACTTTTTCGACAAGTTTTCAGCATGTGCTATACACTATGTTCTACACAACGTGATAAAATGGTGCGTACTACAATTGCGTTCTTTGGACATACATTTCAAAGTACAACACTCGTACCTTTCGAAACTTTTTTTAAGCATTTGTTATAAAATATATGTGTCATTATATTTCAGTTTCCTAATTATTTATAATTTCATTTGAAATTTTCAAAAAATGAGCGAGATTTCGAATTTTTGAATTCATAAAAAGAGCAAGAAGCAAGAGGTCTTACCGCAGGTCCAGCATTTCAACCGCACCTCATAATTGTAACACTGGTGAGAGCTTTGATCTGCATTTTTGCACAGAAGTCCGTGTTCTAAATCACATCTCACTAACTGACCCGTTAAAGAATAGTCCTTCTGGGTCACCATGCTCCTGCATTGGATTTCGTAAGGATTTTTGCAAAGACCACTGGCTGCTATGATCTGGTCGATGGGTTCTTCATCTCCTAAGTAAGATGATGCCGGATCCGATAAGCTCAACCATGGACCGTACTGCACGCAGATCTCTGATCAAGAAGATGGAAACGTATTCATTAGCACAGATTCGAAACAATGATAATAAAGATTCAAATGAATGTGAAAGGGTCTACTAAATCATTAAATATTCACCTGCCAAAGTTTCCAACTGAAAACACTTTTTAAAATACCGTAAACTATCTAGCAAAAAACTTCAGTTCATTCAGAACTTTTAAAAATCTAAAATGTAAAACAAACAGTCGAAATAAAGTTAAAACTTTATTTCGACTGTTTGTTTTACATTTACAGATATTTAATCTGCTTATAAAAATATTCGTGTTATTCAGTATCTTAAACGGTGATTTCAGAATCACTAAAAGCATCGTAATGTCTTTAAATAAGTAAGTGATAAAATTGGAAATATTAAACAAAAATATCGTTGAGACAATATAAAAATATTTACCTGTGGTCGTGTGTAAAATTTCAGGTAATACAGTTTCAAATCCTGAAAATATATTTATTTACAATAATCATATTTAAAGATATCTAAAACAAAATAATTTATTAAAACCATCTAAAAATTTATGCAGTTCGGTATCCAAACACTTTCCATTAAGTCACATTCCCAAACTTCCTCTCTACTAGTTTGGAAAGAAATAGTAAACAAATCATGTTGGTCTTACCGTAAGGGATGAAACAGCCAAAGACTTCCATTCGGAGCGCTGGTTTAGTATGATAATCTAGAATGGTGATTTTAAGGAAGCGAGCTTGAATCATATGTCTAAACCATCTAGTAACAGGCGTATTCCGGTCAAAGTTGCCACTAAATACCTGAAAAGTAATACAATATTTGAACATGATGATCATAAGCGGGTTGATTTTATGTAGACTTACTAAAAGCTAAAACCTATTAGACAAATAAATGTTTCATTTGATACACAAAATTTTCGACTTTCGAATCCTCTTTGGATGCTGCAGAGTGATTCATCACCATTCTCTTAAAATATGTCAATTTATTTGCTAACTGATCCAACTGTTAAGGTTCTGAAAGACTCAGCCTCGTTAGTTCCGTTTACTATAGCTGTCCTGTGGCGCTGTCTCTTGATCAAAGCTCGCAATGCGTCATTGTTGCCTCAGTGTTCTCTTGGATCTTGGGTGTAGAAATCAAACAAGCTACCGCAAATACAAAAACCCAATTTCAACCTGTAATGCCGATATCTGGATCCACGAACTCTGGCATTGAGCTCTACGCTACGCTTCAGCAGCTCTATACAACCTCTTCGCAGAATTTTTAATACTATAACTCAATGCTATAACTAGAGGATGCTACTAATTATCATCGCACTTCAACCTCAACGGTGCTCAAGCCTGTTTCCAACGGCAGACGTAACATAGCGCTCCTTGCCACGAGGAGTTTTGTTGGGATGACTACGTCAGACAAGTGAGCATAAGCAACAACAACAACTAATTACCATGGTGCCCACCAGCAGCCGAGCGGTAAAGTCGCTGAACATGCGACGGAGGACGTGGGCATCACCCCTTTACCATATGGTTAATTGGTGTAGCGCCACGTCCACCAGTATCTATAGTCGAACTTGAGGGCCACACAAGGGTCTCGCACGGGGCGCCGAAAACCAGCGCCCGGTGTATCCCGAGGACGGTCCCACTGACTAAAAGCGCCCTCCGGGGATATTCTCCCATCCGCTTGTCCGAGCCTCTGTATTTGTTGTTGTAAAGTCGCTGAACAGTGGTAGTTCGACTTGGGTCCAGTTCTGTGCAAAAGGGTTGGTTGCATGAGCGTTTTCGTGGTTTTCCCAATGTGTAATATGGACGCCAACTCGTTTCCCTTTGAAAGCTTTCAAGAAGGCATCACCCTCTTTAAGCTGATAGCCCTAACATGCTTTGCCATAATTAAATAAACCAAACTAACCGTCACGATTGAAAACTTGAGGGCATGATTTGCGCCTTAAGTATCTACACTCAAGACCAAAACATTATGACCACCTGTCAATAACGAGTTGGGCCACCTTTGGCGCGCAACACAGCTTCAACCCGCCTTGGCATGGATGCCACAAGTCCTTGATAAATGGCCGGAGACAGATTGTACCAGATGTTGTAGCAACGGTCACGCAAATCCGATATATTGCGAATTAGTGGTCTTTGACCCCTGAGCTGCCTTCCCATGACATCCCAAATGTGTTCTATCTGATTGAGATACGGTGAGTTAGGCGGCCAGGACATTAACTGGAAATCAGCATCATGTTCCTGGAAAAACTCCAACACAATTGTAGCCTTGTGACACGGGGCGTTGTCCTGTTGGAACATTCCATTTCCAGCTGGAAAAACAGAGGCCATGTAAGGGTGCAACTGGTCCGCAATGATGTTCAGATATCCTGTAGCATTCATGGTCTGCTCTACCACAACCACGGGTCCCAGAGACGCCCAAGAGAACGTCTCTCAGAGCATAATACCGCCACCACCGGCCTGTGTATGACCTACTGTGCATTGAGGGAGCAACTGTTCGCCTGGAAGACGGCGTATCCTGACACTGCCATCGGCCTGATGAATGACAAACCGTGATTCATCTGACCAGGCAACTCTCTCCCACTGATGCATGGATCAGTCGCGATGTTCCCGGACTTAGCGCAGGCGCAGTTGGCGATGATGCTTGGTCAGCAAAGGCACACGAGTGGGACGTTTGCTGCGTAGCCCCATATCCAACAGTGTCCGCTGAACAGTGTGCTCCGATACTTTTCTACTTGGCCCTGCACTGTATTCGGCTGTCAGCTGAGCCACTGTCTGGATCCGGGTTTTCTTCACCATGCGAGACAGTCTCCGGCGACCTTTTTGTTGATAGCGTGTGGACATCCAGCACCATGTCGTCTACTGTAGATTTCACCGTCATTCATCCACTTTTCATACGTACTAACAACTGTAGATCCCGAGAAACCTACGAGTCATGCAGTTTCGGAAATACTTGTTCCGAGCCTTCGAGCCATTACAATCTGCCCTCTATCAAAGTCGCTTAGATCCGCCTTTCCCATCACACACAGAAGTAAGTGAAAGAATGATTCTTCAGACTTAGACTTAGACTCTATAATTGACCGAGCTATTGCGAAGAGCAATGTTGCCGGTTCCAAAATTAAAGCCCAAGGGCACTTGACATAAATAAATCCGGACGTGGAGAAAATCTCAGATGAGAAAACGGAGATAAGGGGAAGAAGAGAAGTACCAAAAGGAGCAAGACAATCCAATCGGACAAGTTCGCAAAAGGTGACGAGCGATCATAGCTTTCAAGGAGGACCCAAGACAATGGAAATCAATGACAACAATACGAGAAGATACACTACAGCAATAGTTCCAATGACAAATTCAAATATAATTAAACAACATCAATCAGTAGTGCTAAATACAACACAATACAAAACAACTATACAACACAATTTAAATACAATTATTCAACGAAGCAACAGAAGAACTTCAATCAAAATCAGATGCATTGGAAGTGTAAATAGCTAACAATTGAGGATCTAAGTGAAAAAGTTGTCGTCTCCTCCCATGAAGGTGTGAGCTGCAAGTGGTCTGACGCTTCTATCTTCGAAGAGAATTTCATAATTAAAAACTTGGGAGTAATTAACAAAGTCACATTGCACAGCTTTGTTGAAGAATTTTTCATTAGATCTTCTGATGTAATCTGGAATCGTCTCAAGTTTTAAGTCTCTGTGTAAAAGTTTATTGCGGATAAGATAGTGAGAATCAGTAATAATGCGCAGAAATTTGTTTTGCACTACTTGTAATTGATGCAGTTGAGTTTGAGTGACCGTGTTCCAAGCAGGAGCAACATAACAAAGTATCGGTCGAATGCAAGTGGTATATATATATGTTTTTTTGGTACGCAAGCTAAGATTTGAATATTTTCCAATGACCGGGAGAAATCTGCATATTATGCCCATGGCTTTGCTCTTGACACTATTAATGTGATTAGACCATGTGAGCCTTTGGTTCAAAATAATTCCTAAGTATTTGGCCTTTGTGACCAGAGGAACAGCTTCCTGAAAAAGGTAGAGGTCTTTAAAAGCAATGTTTTTCTTAGTTTTGCTAAGAATTAAAAGTTGTGACTTGCTAGCATTGATTTTTACTCGCCAATTTGTGCACCAGTCTTCTACGGCATAGAGGTAATTTTGCATTTTGTCTATTGCATGATTAGCTTGAATGGATTTAATTGCAATCGCCGTATCGTCGGCATAACATGCTAACAGAGAGTAATTGTCCAAACCAGGGTGAGGAAAATCTGATATGTAGAAAAGATATAGTACTGGACCGAGAATACTTCCTTGTGGGACGCTGGATCTTATAGGTCTTGAATTGGATTTTTCATTTCCTTGAGCGACGAAGAAAGTGCGGTTTTGCAAAAAGGAGAAGATCAGAAGAATGAGCTCTCTAGGAAGTCCCAAGTTGATAAGCTTGAAGACGAGCCCCTCATGCCAGACGCGGTCAAAGGCTTTTTGCCACGTCCAGCATAAGGAGCGCAACACTTTGCTTGTTATGGAATGCAGATCCCACAAATTCTACAATTCTTACTAGTTGTCGAGTAGTACTGAGGTTTTTTCTGAATCCGTACTGATCATTAGGTAGCAGGTGAAGAAAAGGTTCCAATCTAGTGAGAATAAGTCTTTCATAAATTTTACCAAGGCTGGATAACAAACTGATAGGACGATAGCCATCAGGCTTGGTCACATCTTTACCCGGTTTGGGAAGAAGAAAGATCTTGGCTTGCTTCCAAGGATCAGGGAAATAGTTGAGAGCAAGACAAGCGTTGAGAATACTAGCGAATTTACTGATAAGTTTTCTAGGTAAGTTACGAAGCATTTTATTTGTAATTTGATCACTTCCAGGAGCTTTTTTGATGTTGAGATATTTAATAATATTAGTAATTTCCATAGGAGAAGTAAGCCTTGGGATGTTATGAGCCGAAGAAGAATGAAGCCAGGAATACACATAGTTTTCGAGAACATCTTTAAAGGTCTGATTCATAGGCTCCATATTAGGAGTAAACTGCTTTTCCAGGTATTCAGCGAAAATATCGACTTTATCTTTAAGTGAGTAGGCAATTTTAGTATCCGTATGAATAGGTCTATTATTAATACTACTTCTTTTAAGATTTTGAAGATACTTTCCACAGAGAACCATCATTAATATTAAGTTTAGATATAAAATCTTCTCTTGTTTCCTTTTTAAAATCAGTGATAAGTTTTCTTGATTCTTCTATTAAAAATATTGATTTCTCTTTTAAGGGCAGGGTCCCAGTTACGGTGCCAAAGCTTCAGCAATCGGTTTTTTTCTTTCTTTGATAATGTCTCTGATACTGCGAGGAAGTCGAATATTATTGTTAGTTAATTGAATGGTAACTGTAGCATCTCTGAAAGCTTTCAGTATACTGTCAGTGAAGATATGAATGGCAAGATCGATATCCTGTTTGGTAGAAAGTGAAGTGAAAATAGGAGGATGTTTGATTAAGATATTGTGAAAAGTAATCCAGTCAGTATTATTTCTGGTAATAGGAGGGTCTTCTTTAGAAACACCAAGAGAAGCAATGACAGGTACATGATCAGATGTAAGTTCTGCCTTGACTTCCAAGGAAATAGGGATAGAAGTATTTGTAAGGATAATATCCAAGATGTCCGAGAGATTTGGAGAGGCAGGACGATAAGTGGCTTCAGAAGGTACATGTAATGCGACAGGATGATTGCAGATAAAATTATGCATAATACGTCCATTGGTGTTAGAACGACGACATCCCCATTCGAGGTGCTTAGCACTCATGTCTCCGGCAATAATAACTTGCTGATCTTCAGGAAGTAAGTTTTTTAACATATTTTCAGAAAGTCGGTTTCGTGGTGGATTATAAATAGCCGTAAAATGGATGGTACCAAATTGTGGGAGTATAACAGCAACAGTCACACTTTCGAATCCAGAAGCAGAGTGATTCTTCAGACTCTCCAGCAGCAGTTAAATACCACTTCCACCTGATCACGTGCCTTCCACGTCATCCAGGCGCGTTCATCGCAAAATGTAGGGCTGGTCATAATGTTTGGCTCTTGAGTGTAGTTGAACCGTTGTTGGGATTTGGCGCGCATAATGCCATTAATTGTTTTTCCCAGGTGTGCAGATGTGCGTGTTCTTATGACGTCCGTACTCGTCAATGTAAAAAACACGGCATTAGCTCGATTTCCTGCCGCTGTTTCGTGGCTCCATAAAGTGAGAGGTTGTTGTAATTCGCCAGTGATTCCTTGGTAAATTTAAATGTGCCGTAAGTGATCTTGGGATAGAACTGAGGTCTGCGGCGTAGAAACCAAAAATGAAGCCGCGAAGGAAAAGGGCAGTTCGGCTTGTGCTATTGGCATTTGCATCTGATTCCTAAAGAAAATTTTCAAATCCACAGAATTTAAATGCTTTATTTAGAAACTATACAGAAATAATTAAACAATTACGACGTTTGGGGTTTGAAGCCGAAAACAACGGCTAGCAACATAGTTTTGCTAACAACTTGTTTGTCATGGTTCTTCATTGATATGGAGAAAGGACATTGGATATTGGACAAGATTTTCAATATCTTCCTGTTTTGGGAAATAGACTGTTGAACTGAAACTTTATCTAGTGTATCAGTAGTGTTATAATTAGCAGAATGTATTGTACAACACATACTACTGTCGAATGAACCGTATAACTATGTAATAACGCACTATGCAAAGGAGGATGAAATCTGTAGCCGCTATTATATAATGCTGTTGTTGAAAAGACAGATAAAATACTTCAGATTGGTAGACCAGCTCTACTGTTCACGCAAAAATGTGAGAAATATTGGACAAGGATTTAGAATGCTATAGAACACCCAAATGTAAACTATAACGTGCTCCTCGAATGCTTCCTTGTCAATTTGCTGTTGAAATCAGTCAGTATCTTCTTGTATGACAAAAAATTTTAAAAATATTACGTTTTAAAAGGTAAATACACACAGAATTAAAAACATAAAAATTTTGAGTAACGATTTGAGCAACTAATGTACCCTAGGATATGACAAACTGCTCAGAAAAAACGACAAATCCTCTTTAAATTTAAATTCGCATATGCGATTAAATATTTTAAGATTTCTTTGTTGTTTAAATTCCTCACACAATAGCAAACTCTACATTTGCGAGGTTGCATACAATGCTTTTCACATATCACTTCAGTATAAGATCTTTCAATATCTAGTTTATTAATAAGGTGGAGCCGAAGTTATACGAAATTTCTGGAAGTTTGGAAAACTTCTGGCTTTCTTCCTAATAAAAACTTATAGGTCACCCTGTTAGTATGATGATAGGGAAGTCGGTTGTCATAGCCCGGGCTCGAATCCCGAAGAAAGCATGGTTGTTTGTAATAAGTTATCCGAAAGTCCTTTCGAAAGGTTGGTGGAAGGGGACGAGGGGTGAAAAACTCTCGGATTTAGATTCTCCTAGATATTCTATTTCAAAGATGGGCGAGTTCATACTGTCACTTATAGTGTCTAAGCCTAAGACAACGATTTGAGGAGCTTTGATTTCTTAAAAACGATTAGTTCATGAACTTGATTTGATGCCACTATCAAACCACTGAAATAAATCTCAACAACAGAAACCTACATTAACAAGCTTCGCCACTGCTGACAAGTCAATAAGAGTCGCCTTCAATAATATTTATCAAGAAGACAATGATATTTGTCTTCTTCCACCACTTAGTAAAAAACTAGTTTGAGTTTTAGTAGTTTACTTCAGTATATTCTAATCTGGATTCGCTCGCTAATTATTTTAACGGAATCAGCAAACTTTTTGAAGTTTATACTAGGATTCAACTATTCTTTAACATCTTTTGAACGATTGCTTGAAGCAACAAAATACATTCAATCAAATCAATAACTGCGAAATACCCATGTTAATATTGTCAACTAATTGTAAGCATCCATAACATCCAAGAATAACGATAATTAAAAACAATTCATTACCTTATCTTTTGTATCCATTTCATAAGCGTCTATCCAAGTATAGTTGTCAAGACTGTATTGCACTGTGTAACTGATGACCCACATATTGGCATCTTCCCGACCTATTTAAAAAATTAAAGAAGGGTGTGATCACATTGGACATTTTACACTTACCCATTAAATGGAAACAGAGAATGTATTAAAAAAATCAAATACAACATTCAGTATAGTTTTTTCCTAAACCTTGACAAAAAGTATTCATTCCTTAGGAAGAAGACCTATATCAGATCGCCCACGAAATCAATAAAACTCTATTCAAAATCTGTGTAAATCAGTTTGTATGAGATCGCGAAAGTCCAACATACCATTGCACAGAAAAACATAACACTTTCATTTTATTAGACGTAAACCGACAGAATTAGCTTCAAAGAGGGGATAAGCTTTTATAATTATGAATTACTCAACTAAAACCAAGAGGCATCTATTTCAAGTAAAATTCAGAATACAATAAACGATAAGTTACTCTTATTTTGTAAATTAATATTGCCTTCGCAGTTATAATATTTCTTTTATGGTTAGTCAAGTTTCATACTAATAATTACTAGTTAATTTCGTGTTATAAGATTATAGTTTGATGATATTAAAAGTAAATAAAAGAGCATCCATATAAGGACGAGGCAAGTTTGAGATTTATAAAAGTTCTTATTTATATATGAGACTATCGTTTAGTTCTTTTCCGATAAGCACATTTGAATTGACGCTAAAATTCGTTTTGGCTTATCTTATGAAGATTTTCTATAGCTCTCTTCATAGACGCTAATTATATTTCTTTAGAAATTGACTTCAGTAGTTGAAGGAAGATTCCCTTGAACCAAGTGATGTTTGAGGCATCTTCTTTTTCTTTTTTTTCCATCATTACAGTGTTTGATTTTAATGAATCTCAAAAATCTTTCAAAACCTTTAATTTGGAGTGAATTGGGATGCTTTATTCCATTTAGTCTCAAACTCAATTTTCTGGTTGTTCAGTTAGTTCACAACATCTTTCGTATAGTAATGGCTGGTAGCTAATAGAATATTTTCATTTTGATAATGTTACTTGATGAAAGGCATCAGACCTTTTTGAATGCAAAATTAATTAAATCAATCGAATCATTTAGGGTTCCCTGGGGGTAGGTAAGAAACATTGACATGAATAGAGCATCATCCGGCTTTTTTTTTTGTTTTGTTTTGTTTTTTTTGTTTTTTGAAGTGCACAGAAATAAAGTCATGGAATGTTGAATGATAATAGTAATTACCATTTGTCAAATTAGGATAAAATGCAACTTATTATATATGATGAGTTCGTTCGAACTTCTGGATAGAATCCATTGCTTATAAATTTTGAGATAAATTTGCTTGCTCGAATTTCTTGATAGTTTCTAATTTCACAGCCATAGTTTTTATATCAGATTTTAAACTCAGATATTTCTTAATTTGAAAACCAGTTTACTTTCATAAACATTTATGCCATAGGTGGTACTGTTGAAAAGCGAGTAAATCACATTCGTGTAAGATTAAGCGAATTCAAAATGACTCTGCATATAAATAAATAGGAATTCAAGTTAAATAAGCTTTAATAAAACATACTTATTTAAAAGAAAATTATGTAATAAAAACGTAGTTTTCGTACTCATCTACATAAAATAATATTAAAATAAATGTTCTATATAAAATTCAGTCATTTTGAAGCCGATGATTTCATAAAATTTAATAAACTCTCGTGACGACTCAATGACTTTTTAGCACATGAAACTTCTTCATAAAAGCTATTAATATTTTTTTCGTTTCTTGCATCAGCTACAGCGCTTTCCTCGTTTAGAGTTCATGTTTTCCGAAATATGTTACTGTTTTATAATTGAGCTCCGAGACCTGGCATTTTCATGTGATGTCATGGTCGATATGGCTGTGAGGAGTTAACTTCTGAAGTAATGACTTCCTCACGCATTTCTGTAAGATTATCGACTGTCAGCTCTCTGCTGTGCTAGTTCAACAGTTCTCGACGTCACCGTTATCAATTTCCATACCTAATTGACAACTTCTGTTACATGAGCAATCTGAATAATTTCTTGCGTTGCTCTCGACGTGCTTCTGAAAAAGTATTGGCTAAAGTTCTACAAATTTATATTTGCTCTTGAAGAAGAGAAACATGTATCTAATCGCTCTCAATAGAGTTTTTATTCAAAATCTACGCCACCTCATCTCCAGATGCTCTCAAACATGTTTTAATGAAACCTACCGACAGATGCGATAATCGACGTTTGGAAAATCGAGGCTTTGCAATGCTGTTTTATGATGAAGCAGAGTTGAATTATATTGTAACTGATGCTTTTTTACAACTAAAAGACCAAACAGACAGGCAGCTAAACAAATGAAAACACATACATAATCTGACCTTGGGTTGTAATTCCTGTGAGATTTCTTTCTCCGTAAAAATCAATGAGAACGACTGGCTTGTAATCGTATAAGGCAGGGACCCATCCTCCAGTACGTTCACCATCTGCATGCGTATTCAACCTGCAAAAACGGAAAAATATTAGATATTTTGCAAGGAAATTGTGTGGAAAGAATGATGATATTTAATCAGTTTTTCATTTCGTTGGGAAAACTAATTTGTGAGCATTGAAGATACAGAGTATTTTGCATGACATCCAAGAAAATCGATCCAGCAAAATTTTCTGGAAGAATAAAGCAACTCGAAATTGAAGGCTTTGATGATAATGAGTTCTAATCAGGAGACGATTAGAAATGCTCATCAGACTGTTAAATAGATTTATTTAAATAATCATACATATTCCTTTTCCAATGTTGTTCAATGTTTGCGAAGGGTCTTACTTAATAAGTAGGAAGAATTCAGCTGCTCTTTATTTTTCCTAACGCGTTTGGTCGTTGTATAAGTAGGATCATTTTTAAAGCTATTAAACCTCACAGACACTGGTGATTACCATGTTCTCTCTGCGATGTTTTATAGATACTTCTATTCTTGTCCCAGCTATCAGCGGTACAGGATGAATATTTCATCCGCTCTCACTTCAGTCATTGAGTCCACGACGCTCAAGACCAGGATCCTCGTAGGGAAACAGAAAAGCCGGCTACAATCTTCGGAGCCCTACAAGAGACTACATCAACTAATTAGAATTATCAGTTCTTGCTGCAGACTGAATAACTGTTGCAAATATGAATGAGTGTACAAAACCATTCGTCCTCATTAAGGGTCTAGAGTTCCTCACTTTGTAAATTCTAAGTAACTGTTGGAAGTGAAGAATCTTAAGAACTGATAAGCGAATATTCGCTTGAGTTTGTGTGACAGGAAACAACAAGGTTGGAGGGTAAACTAACCCTTTATTATTCCAACTAAATTTTGGCCCCTTAATGTTAATAGACTGCACAGTTCTTAAGGCTCTAAAGTACGGATGAGCGTGATAATAGCTTACTAGAGAGTAGCCTAAAAAAGGCGAACGCGTGCAGATAGAATACCCGGTATCTCTCTAAGACCAAAGAACTTCGCGGTTAAATACTACTCTTCTTCATTATGTATTCAGACGTGATTCTAAAACTACGTTCTGGCCGAAAGTAGTAAGTTGAAGTTAAGAATTGACAGGAAAGGAACGTTAACTCAAAATATAACTGTTAATAAAATTAACATAATCTTTACAAGGGATTAAAGAATTTTATAAAATTTCATTGCTTGCTTATGCAGAAAAGAACGAATGATCGCTAAAACTCTAGCTTCACTTAAAATTCTAAAGGTAAGAATGATTTTTTTCTTGACTAAAAATTTATATATATATTAAAAAAAACCCTCTGTTAATTTCCCCAAAAGACGAAATTCGATTGATAGACCAGAAAAAAGACAATATAGTAATTCAAATCACTCGCTAAGCTTACTCCCAGTCATTAAAAATCCATGAGGTCTTTAAAGAAAAACCGCTAGAATGTTAAACACGCACTATTCAAGAGTCTTGCAATTTATAGAAATGACTCAAGCTTTAAAAAAGCTAAGAAATTCCTAGAGTTTTTCATCTTATGTTAGATGGTTTTAATACTTGCTCTACGTTTTTGCATGGCAAACCTTGGAATGATATTCAATGCCCTGTTAAATTCTCTGATTCATGTATGGAATTACCGATGCTACGGTTTGATGGAAAGTGCTTAGCTTTCCTGGCCTTCGAGAAGCTTCATTTTATACCGATGGACTTGCTTTTTTAAAGCTGAGCAAACAGGGTCTGTTTGCTTGCTTATCTTAGGTTGTTTTCATATTTATTCCATCTGACGCATGGAAAACCACGAAATGATTTTCGATGTCTTAAGCTCTCTGATTCATGTATGGTATCATCATTGCTATTTGATGGAGAACGTTTAATCTTCCTGTCCTTCCAGAAGCTTCAGTTTTGCATTTCTTTTTTTTTTTTTCAGAACTATGCCAGCTTAGCTTAGAAAACTTTAATATTTGCTCCAATTAGTGCATGGAAAACCTCGAAGGGATATTCAATGGCCTATTAGGTACTCTGATTCATATCAGATTATTGATAGGAAGAGTTAGACAATTTTAATGCCTCAGTTTTATAAGGAGGACTTGTTTTTGATGAGGTAAGACAAAAAAAATTTATGTAATGAAAAATATACTTATGCCAGAGGCGTGTAACAGCACCGATAGAATATAGTTTCGAGATTATCTGTCGTTCGACAAATGAAGCCGATAGTAAGGTGGAAATATCAGATCCCATGTGAACATTTGAATAAATTCGGTGTTTAAATGCTTGAGCTATCGGTTATTATAATCCCTAATATTCTTTGTCGATGACTTTACGTTATAATTTGTTAAGTACCTTTAAAGGATGCGTTGGATTTAGGTGATTTTCCCCCCATCTACTATCTATAGTAGTAAGCAAGTAATCAAAATGTATCAAGGAACATAAAATGCTTTATTCTTTCTAATAATATTAAAGCAAGGGAAAGTACTCTTAAACAAGGAAAAGCTTTTACGGGTAAAAGTTGAGTGTGCTACAAACCTAATTCTAGATACTCCAGTTCCTGGTCCATTCGTGGACGAAACGGTGATTAGTGTTTCTGGTAGTTCTCCATTCTCGAACCCCATGGGATCGGTGCATCCTATAAATAAAAAAATTTCAACTGAAGAAAGAACCTGAAGTGCGTTTTAATTTTTTCCCACCATGAAATATTCATATATAGTTACGGTTATATAAAAGACAAAGTATCATTAAGGCAGACTGCATACAGTGTTCATTTATAAAAACAATTATAAATTAACCCATAAACCGCCAAAACTACAAGGAAAAGAAACAAGGAATGTTTCTTTTCTTACGAAAATAATAACAAATATTAAATTAAGCATTTATAACATAAATTTACATTGAAAATAAAAAAAAATGCTCTTACCTGGGGTAAAAGCGAGTGTTGCGTTCGCGCAACGTCAGCGGAATAAGACTACAGATGTTTTAGTGAGTAGGATTGTACTCGTGTGATGTTTCTTTTGAGTGGAGCGCAGGATTACGTTTTATTACATTTTAGTTGTATAACGTTTTATAAATCTACAAATCACTTTACTTGTAATTAATTTAATATTAAAATATACATTGTATTTCTTTTACAAATACAGATTATTTCATTTGAAAGATTCAAGCATGAAAAGCTTGATTACGATCATGATGTAAAGCTACATTACATACTTTGCATCTATAAGCAGTCTGGCTATGGTACTCTTTAGAACAAAGTCTTTTGTTATCAACGGACTTTACGATAAAATGTCTACCATCTCCATGCAATGTGTTTTGAATGTTGAATTTACTAGGTCTTCCTGTTGCTGATCTATTTCTGGCTAGTTCTACACTCTCAATAGGAGTTTGCAAAAGAAATAATGCATTCTCGCGTCTGAAATCTAAAAGAGACTTTATATTTCCAGTAGTAAAAAGTGGTGATATTTAGTAAGTTTAGATAGACATAACTAACAGTTCCTTTTTTATCCACTTCAAGATTTCAGTCTTCTGAATTTTAAACTTTTTAGTATGACTATAACGGCTTTTAGAAGGCTGAAACTTACTTCTTACGTGAATTTAAACTTCCCCGGCAGTATAATTTGGCAAAATATCCTTATCATTATTTAAAATATTGCCATTCCTTTCTTCTTCGTCACTAGCCTCTGCAATTTCTGGGGAGCAACAACAGTCTCAGTTTCATTCTGGTCATTATTAACATTATCATCATCTGTTTCTTCATAAAAAAATCTTTGAAGAGCTTCTTCTAATGTAAGATACCTCGTTCTAGGCATCTTTAAAAAACCAGAACATGAACAAGAACATCGAAAGGAATGAGTGAAAAAGGAGATTGACTACCCGTTTCCTGCTGACTTTGCGTCAACGCAACACCTGTTTTCCCTCCCTTCCCAACACAAATATAAACATCTGACTGATGTAATGTTCTGATAAACGGTGACCTTGACTAAAACTAGATCACTCATAAAGACGGCGATTCTTTCGTTAAATATTTTCAGCAAAAATACCTGGTCGAAAATTTTGCTTAAATTTTGCTTAAAGTATGAGATTAATTATTATAAACAAAATGATTGTTGAAGGCAAATATTTTTTTACGCAAATAATCTTCATAATATTCCCTACACAAAATCATCTGCTGGTATAAAATATCTTAGGTAGTTATACTTATATACTCATTTACTTTGACCGTTGCATCAACGCAACACCAGCGGTTAATGGGTTAACCGACACATTTCCATTGCAAAGTCAGCAATTATAATAGTAAACTTCTAATTATGCTTTGCATTTATCATGTACATTTATTGAAACCAAAGATTAAGAATAAAATAATTGTTTAGTAACCTTTAAAGTCATTAAAGAAGGCGAAAAGAAGACATTAAAGAAACGTAAAGAAACATTAAAGAAATATAACATTACTTCAATATGATAAATCTTTGTGTATCATCTATTTTACTAACTCAGGAGTAATTTTTATTGTTCTCTAATTGACAAAGAATTTTCTTCTTGCCAATCACCCATTGTATCAATGTGCCCTAATGACTCTTGGAAAAGTTTCAGAGTTAACTTTTGTTACAAGTCTTCTAAATCGGCGGCAATCTTTGCAGTGCTAATTTTTGGATTTTCTTTTATTAGATAAATTTCATTTCAAAAGCTAAATATCGGGTTTTTTCGTGTTACTTTAATCAGTGCATTTTTAACAGCTTCGTGCATTTTCCATAGTACTAATACATCAAGAATAATTAAACGCTTTGCAATAAGGATTGAATATTTTAAATACCTTTACTATTTTTAAAATCAAGAATAGTTAAATTTCACACAGAATTTATCATTAGTAGTGGGAAACGGACAGTTCAGCGACAGGAGGCGGTGCGCGGTGCAAATTCAGAGGCGGTGCAAGCGGAGGCGCAGCAGATAAATAGGAATGTTTCGGGATTCTTGATTTAGGGGATAAAACCGGGTTTCGAACCTGTAACAAAAGGAGTTCACAGGGTAGTACTACGATTGATTGCTTTAGAGGACTACCCCATGATCTCTAGTCGCTTATTGGCAAGAAAAAGATTAAAAATAAATTATATTTTTTTTAGGATTGTCCCCACCACCACCCGGTGCAGTTAATTGCACCTCGACAATCCCGAAAATTTAGAACAGAAAAACTTATGCATAACCTTATGTAAGCTTTCCATAAGTTTTTCAAAAGGCCGAACTGTAACACTATACTAAAATACCTATAGTGTTATGAAAACTTAAAATTAAAGAAAAAAATAAATGTACTTAATATCATTAAGCATTAAATTAAAAAAGATTATATACACAGAACTCCATTAAATGTAAAAAATTATGAAAACTAAATGAATAAATACGTTAAAACTGAATATATAAATTGCATTAAATATGAAAGATAATTAGACCCATACAAAAGTAAAAATTAAGAAAAATCATTAAAATACCTTAAATTTAATGTATACAAGTTAAATATGCCAAATATCATTAAACTTTACATGAACGACGCTAAATAATCTCAAATTACGAAGAAGAAAATTAATGTAATAGATTAATACATAAAAAAATTAAATGGTATAATGCCCATAAGCATAGCTGTTCACACTATCTAATAGCTAGCGCTTATCGTCATAGGGCGACAATGTCACTTTGTTGACTTAGTTGACCATAGTGAATAGTCTATGACTCTCACTACCAATTAGATACTGCATATCTCGTGATCGTGTCTCATTGAACAGACATTCTTTGTAGTTTATATGCTTAATATGCTTTCTTAACACCGTTCTGCTCACCCCTTTCGCTGTTTCTTCTCTCCACAGGGAGTCAGCAAAGAATACATTTTAGCTTTTAGTCCGACGAACTCGTAAACAGGTGCTCCATTCAATTCGTCTTTAAAGCAGCCAATTCTCTTTTTATTCTTCTCACTGTAGAGGGGTGCTCCTTCGGATACTCGGAAGTATCATACAAATCTAAATGTAGACTCATATCCTTATAAATGTCCTCTGTTTGCACAGAATAAATGAATCTGTGTCGGTGAAAAGGAGTTCAGCTTTTGATCCGTAGTTTTGCTTCATGTGTTCGTAATGAAACTTATACATGTGCAGCTTGCTCAGTTCCAAAATAGCAAAACCCACATAAATAGGCCGATCCGATTCAATGTAATGACATTTTTCATACGTTGAATGCCTACTAAGTCTTCATCAAAGATTCTAAAATTCCTTGAAAGATGGAGCCGCGACGAGTCTTTGCGCCTTTCGCTTACATTATTGAACAATTTGAATATCCACCCTATTTCGTACGTTTTCCATTGTTTTGCCATACACTGAATTATTCATCAATTTGAAAAAAATTTTTTTCAAATGTGGTATTCACTTTTTTTCCTTTCTTCGGTGTTAAATTCAATATATTGCGATAACAGCCAAGGCTTTCTGTAAAAAGTTTTAAGATTTGATATTATGCACTTTGGTTAATTTTAAACCTTTTTCCAAATAATATTTCAAATTTCTATAATGAAGCACATAATTTTGCTTCTTTTTCAAATTAGTCACTAATTTCTGTAATTTTTCCTGGGTACTTTTTCGTCCATTGCTTCTGCAATAAAGAGACTGAAATAGGGGGATAACTCTTCAGTGGTTATACAGCACTTCTCCGGAGCTAAAGGATACTCATTGTGTACAGATCATGCAGTTCCTGAAGGGTATGCCATATCCACTTCTAAAATATAGCCGACAGCTCCATCTTCAGGGGATGATAAAATGGCTTCTATATCAATGGCAGATGGGTGAGATCCATTGAAATTCCTCCATAAGGCAGGGGTTGAGACATAGCCCATCCATATAAATTATTTGCATCCAGATATATAATGTAACTGGATGGTTTGCTTTGATCATAATGGGGTAGAATATTTATTGTTAGCTTCTGCCCATCGGTGAGATATCATGGAAATACCTCCACGAATACCTCTTTCGATGAACAGGTGCATATCTCCAGATCTGTTAGAAGCTCTAACTTGAATTCTAGTCATTTTCAAACACGCCTGCCACGCTAGCCCCGGTGACGTGTCATAACGTGAGCACAGTCCAACTCATAATTTTTCAATACATAAATTTCGAAAGTTTTCAAATATGTCCGCTAAAAGAAGAACATCGGATTTAACATACAAATTGTGATAGTCTCCTAAAGGTACGAGTTTAAAAGTCTCCCATACATTTAATGCATGGGAGTAAATCTTCATCAGAAATGTGTTCCTTTCCCGAAGAACACTTGTAAAATGCCTCTTTCGGTGGTAAGCAATGTTTCTTCAAATTTTTTGAAGGATGACATGTACTCATAAGGATACACGCCTTTGCAGGCGTAGCAGTTGACATTCCTTCCTTTCCAAACTGTTTTTCAAAATATTGAAAATTTTCGTCCTTCATGTTGTTCACCAGCTTTTGCCAAGGAGGTATTCAAAAATTGGAAGCTATCTACAAATTGTAGAACTTACTTTATCCTCCCTATTGGCTAACGAGAAAGGAAATGTATTTTTCCATACTCGTTGCGATTACTTTTACTTCGTGATCTTTCACGTTTTTTTAGCCCTTGAAGGATATGATGGGCATCGTAATTCTTCAAATTATGAAAAATCACAGGGATGCACTTTTTCAATTGGTATTGTAAATTGCAGTTGGAGTGCAGAGCCCCTCGGTATTGCCCAGTAATATGGCAGTGATCTCTCACTCTATCTTTCCCCAACGCGTTTTTGCAAATGTAACAATGAGTCGCTGAGAGAAAGTTTTGTTTGTCTTTTTCAGTGAAAATCATGGAAGCGACATGCGTCAGCTGCCCGACCAGTTCTTTTTTCACTTGAATGAGGGATTGCACAAAATGTTCCGCGGCATTTTCACCTCTGTATACTGTTTTTATCGGCCAGTTTCAGGCAGAGGGATGTAACGCTGAAAAACTTCATAAAGAGCGACATTTCAAAATTTGTTAATTTTCTCCAACACCCAGGTGTTTTTAAAAATTCTAAAAAATTATTTTTTATTTTTTCAAAGTCTCTTCGAGTATACACTCACTGGCCGGTGCTGTTAGGCCCATCAGTACATAAGCATAGCCACACGGCTGGTGTTGTGCAATTTTGTTGGTAAAGGAAACACTTTCACACTGCTGCGCACTGTCCATCGGCACAATTATAGATTCAAAGTCCGCATACACAATAAAGGGGACGCGATGTTGAAACTGAATGTTTGTGAAGGAAAGTATATTTTCTCCTTCTTCCGGCATTTTCACGTGTTGAACAGAATGCTCGGCGCAATATTTTAAATGCTCCTTTAACGTCTCTTCCTTCTGAAAGCGGTGGAGGCAGCGATAGCAGATATGATAAGAACTACGATGTTTATTGACGTCTCCTAGAAGACGCGACATGTTCCGAATCAGGCAGTAATGCTGCTTATCTTCTTCGCTGATCAGGAGCAAATTAATACAGTCCTCATTCGTATGTTTAGATACGTGCAGGGGGAACACTTCTTCGTCTTCATAGCCGAACACATTTATTCGCAGATTATTTAGCTTTTCTAAATACGCAATTTTATGCAGAGGAACAGGGCAAGTGACGTTCCCCAACTGAATGCTCGATTCGTGAGGCTTGTAGTGAGAAAGGCGATGGGGTTGATTTTCTCGTGAAATATTCATTTTGTGGGCGATTAGACACCACACAAAGCATTTATCGTCCTCATAATTTTGAATATTTAAGATGGCCTTTTTATCAGGCCAGTTTCTTAGGCAGAGAGATGTAACTGCTACCCGGAAAGACCTCATAACGAGCCACATTTAATTCAAATTTGTTAATTTTCTCCAAGACCCACCCTGATCCGTTTTTCAAAAATTCTTCTAAGTTATTTTTTATTTTTTCAAAGGCCTCTTCGACTTGAGGATCGACATCGTGTGTATTTAAGAGGCGGACACATTTACTTCGGAAATAGGGGCTAGCATTATTCTTTCTCACCATCCCCATTATCACGACTCATCAAAACATTGATGACCCCGTACCATTTTAAGCTGCGATGGGCACTTAAATTTTGTTGCAATGTTTCATTTAACAGAGGTCTCAAATATCCGAAAAATACGTCTACATCTTGACTGTGTTCTGCGTTGGGGAATATGGTTTCCGTCGAGAAAATATCTTGAACACGGGTCGTTTTGACCCGTTTCGAAGCGCTGGCAGAAGGATCCGTATTACGGCGTTTTTCATGGGTTCGTGTAACACTGTGTTCTACACGAATATGGTGTAACAGATCGCTATGTCTATTAAATATTTGAGAGCACTCTGCACAGACAAAAGATCTTAAATGAGACAATTCGTGACGTCTCAAATTATCAGCTCGCGTAAATTTCATCGAACAGGTTGCACAATTCAAAGAAGCACTTTCATGGGTTTTCTTATGCCGATCCAAATCACTGCCGCGAGTGAATGACTTTTCACACATATCACAAAAAGGATTTTTCCCCTGAATGAGTTCTTAAGGTGACGAATCAAGCTCCGTCTTACCGTAAACCCTTTACCACAAGTGGGACACACCTGAGAAAGAAACAAAGAGGTATTCGTGGAGGTATTTCCATGATATCTCACCGATGGGCAGAAGCTAACAATAAATATTTAACCCCATTATGATCCAGGCAAACCATCCAGTTACATTATATATCTGGATACAAATAATTTATATGGATGGGCTGTATCTCAACCCTTGCTTATGGAGGATTTCAATGGATCTCACCCTCTGTCATTGATATAGAAGCCATTTTATCATCCCCTGAAGATGGAGCTGTCGGCTATATTTTAGAAGTGGATATGGCATACCTTTAGCTCCGGAGAAGTGCTGTATAACCACTGAAGAGTTATCCCCCTATTCAGTCTCTTTATTGCAGAAGGATGGACGAAAAAACCCAGGAAAAATACAGAAATTAGTGACTAATTTGAAAAAGAAGCGAAATTATGTGCTTCATTATAGAAATTTGAAATATTATTTGGGAAAACGTTTAAAATTAACCAAAGTGTATAAAATCTTAAAATTTTTACAGAAGCCTTGGTTATCGCAATATATTGAATTTAATACCGAAGAAAGAAAAAAAAGTGAATACCACATTTCAAAAAAAAAAGTTTTCAAATTGATGAATAATTCAGTGTATGGCAAAACAATGGAAAACGTACGAAATAGGGTGGATATCCAAATTGTCAATAACGTGCGAAAGGCGCAAAGACTCGTCGCGGCTCCATCTTTCAAGGAATTTAGAATCTTTGATGAAGGTTTAGTAGGCATTCAACGTATGAAAAATGCCATTACATTGAATCGAACCTATTTATGTGGGTTTTGGTATTTTGGATAACTGAGCAAGCTGCACATGTATGCGTTTCATTACGAACACATGAAGCAAAAACTACGGATCAAAAGCTCAACTCGTTTTCACCGACACTGATTCATTGCCTTATTCTGTGCAAACAGAGGACATTTATAGAGATATGAGTCTACATTTAAAATTTGTACGATACTTCCGAGTATCCGAAGGAGCACTCCTCTTTACAGCGAGAAGAATAAAAAGAGGACGGCGAAAGGCTGCTTTAAAGAACGAATTGAATGGAGCACTTGTTTACGAGTTCGTCGGACTAAAAGCTAAAAATGTATTCTTTGCTGACTCCCTGTGGAGAGCAAGAAAACAGCGAAAAGGGGTGAGCAGAACTGTGCTAGGGAAGCATATTAAACATATAAACTACAAAGAATGTCTCTTCAATGAGACAACGATCATGCGAGATGTAAAATATCAAATTGCTAGCCAGAGTCACAAACTATTCACTGTTGAAGCCAACAAAGTGACTTTGTCGCCCTATGATGATAAGGGCTATCTGATAGATAGTGTGAACAGCTATGCTTATGGGCATTATGCCATTTAATTTTTTAATTTATTAATCTATTACATTTAATTTTGTTTTTCGTAATTTGAGATTATTTAGCCTAGTATATCATGTAAAGTTTACTGTTATTTTTAATGATATATTACATATTTAACTTGTATAACATTAAATTTAAGGTATTTTAATGATTTTCTTAATTTTTACTTTTGTATGGGTCTAATTATCTTTCATATTTAATGCAATTTATATATTCAGTTTTAACGTATTTATTCATTTAGTTTTCATAATTTTTTACATTTAATGGAGTTCTGTGTATATAATCTTTTTTAATTTAATGCTTAATGATATTAAGTACATTTATTTTTTTCTTTAATTTTAAGTTTTCATAACACTATAGGTATTTTAGTATAGTGTTACATTTCGGCCTCTTGAAAAACTTATGGAAAGCTTACATAAAGTTATGCATAAGTTTTTCTGTTCTAAATTTTCGGGATTGTCGAGGTGCAATTAACTGCACCGGGTGGTGGTGGGGACAATCCTAAAAAAATATAATTTATTTTAAATCTTTTTCTTGCCAATAAGCGACTAGAGATCATGGGGTAGTGCTCTAAAGCAATCAATCGTAGTACTACCCTGTGAACTCCTTTTGTTACAGGTTCGAAACCCGGTTTTATCCCCTAAATCAAGAATCCCGAAACATTCCTACTTATCTGCTGCGCCTCCGCTTGCACCGCCTCTGAATTTGCACCGCGAACCGCCTCCTGTCGCTGAACTGTCCGTTTCCCACTACTATCATTAATTTGTAGCGTCTTTCCATATGCATTTCAGATATGGAAGTGCTAATATATTTTGATTAGCAAGTGATAAATTCCAAATACAGACATGCAATTCATGTGATGTATTTTTATTTAAAAGAATGACAAGAAGCACTGTCCCCCAAAAATACTTTAACGAAACATTCGAGTCTCCGAATTATCAAGTGATTCACTGTTATAGTTCTAGAATAAATTATTTTATTTCAAAGAGTATTGCGACGATATTTATTTTGTAACAAGCATGTCTGAAAATAGAGAAAAAATAATAAGAAATCTGAATGAGTGTTTCAATATTTAGTGCAAAAGCTATGCTAATAAATTCCAAAAATACAAGTGTCCGAAAACTCGGTATAGAGTATATATTTAATTATGCGAAGTTCCGGCGGAATTAATGGATACATGGTCATTCTCAGTAGCTAATTTTTAACTTCTCAACATTCATTTATTAGTTACATCTAAGAAAGTTTTGAAAAGTTATAATACATAATAAAATGTAAACTGGTATATGCTCGAAGCTGCGTGAAAAAAAATTGGATGAATGAGCCTTATTTCTTGTTTACATCAGAAGGCAATACTACTTTAAAAAAATGCAACTGACAAGAAGAAGCAAAACCCGTTTCTAACAAGGTTTGTAAAAAGAAAAGAATTAAGAAGCATACTTTATTGTATTTTAACGAGTTCTTATTTTGTTATCACATACAAGTTTAAAAATAATTTTAAGATGCATAACATTCAAGTTATCCACGATCTTACCTTCTAAAGTGGGAGGTTCTGTTGGTTCAGTAATATTCGCTTTGACTTCCTCCTCCGGGACTGAAATAAAACACATTATGATCATTTTACACGATTGGAAGGCATTTACAGAGGGTGTTCCCACATTTTATAGAATGATTTCGATAAAGAATTAAAAAAAAAAAAATGGAATAAAAATTTCTGTCAACTGCTCATTATTTTAAATGAGAAATATCGTCTATTCTTTTTAAATTAGTCTTTTTTCAAAATGTCATATGTAAACAAACCGTGAATGAAAGCATATGTTTTAGCGCCTTCCGAAGAGAAATATTCCTGTTGCATAATTCAAAAACATGGTGAAATGCATTGTGTTAATATTTCGAAGTGCAAAATGAGCAACGTTATTAATTGAAAAAGGGGAAACTATCCATCATTACTTTATAGATATTTTGGGAAGCAGGCAAGATGAAAAATGAACAACGCCTTCGCCGAGAATAGAATCGCAGACGTCTGGATACCGGCCCAGTGTGCACACCACGAAGGCACGCTAAGAAGGTGGTAGAAATGGCTTATAACTTTTACTCGGAAAGAAGACTCCAAACGTTTACCCGGAAAAAAGATATGTACTGTTTCTAATGTTTCGAAAGTTAAATCGTTGCTAACAAGAGAAACTCCGACAAAGCAGAAATCAGTTGCAAAATCTTCAAATACATTTGTAGCAATGACAATAAATAACATAATAAACCAAGACTTACAGCTTAAGAAAGTTAAAAAGCATAACTTTCACCAGATTTTGCCGGGGTATACGGCTCAACCCAGAGGAAATTGTAGAATCTTATATGAAAGTATTTATAGAGAAGAGATAAATCGAAATAATCGTAACCCTTGATGAAGCATGGGTTTACCTAAATAACCCTAACAAAGAAAGCTCTATTTATTATCGAAAGCGAAGAGAACAAAAATGTAGAAACGTGATTCCATCAATGCAAAGAAAGTTTCGGTAAGGGGTTTGTGACTGCCGCAAAATTCTCTTAGAGTGTGAAATTTAAAAAAAAGAAGAATGGAAAAATTGTGAAAAACAACTCAGCGTACTCTCAAGAGAAAGGTTTACTTCCGATATTCATAGAATCTTTGCGTATCATCTATTTTAAGAAGTCAAGCGTAATTTTATTGTTCTCTAATTGACAAAGAATTTACGCCATTTTGTTCCAGTGACTTTCAAAGAGTGAAACTTTCTCAAGACAAAGCAATAAGTCATACTTCGAAAAGTAACACTGCATTCCTTGACAAAATGAAGACTGATACAGATACTGTATATATATATACCTTTACAATATATTTCATCTATGGACTATTATGTGCCTTTGATCTCTCGAAAAGAGCTCTTTCTTAGCGCAAACACACCACGATGGAGCGACTCTGGACAGTAAAGGTAAGGAATGGAAATCAATACCCCTGGAAATTTTTTGAAAAGCCCTTCTATCACAGAAGACATGATGCAGATTTACAGTTGGGAGAAAAAAAGTATTGTCGATCGACCATTTAAAAAAAATACTCTTTACATTTTATTAACTAAAGGTCCCGAAATCGTTCTAAAAATGTTCTCACACCTTCTGTATATTAATGTATTATTTGAAAGTAGAACATTTTGCTAAACAAAGAATTTTATACAAAAATTATACGTCGCACACGAGGTTTCAAGGAGTACACTGTTATAACAATTAGAATTTCAGTACTGAATAAAAACTGAAACGTAATCGTATTCGTAAAAGTGAAGAATACAAACGTGCTGAAAACCAGAGTAATACAATTAACTTTTGTGTTCCTTTATGTTATTATGAGAAGCAAATTAAACTGAATGGAAGATTGCACAGAGATTCGCAAACTGTTCTAATGGACTGAAAAATTATTAGAAAGAATCATCAGACGTTTTGCAGTGTTTAAAAGACAAAGGGGGTATCCAAAAATAACTGGAATTATTTATGTGCAATTACATCATACTTTACACTTACATATTATAGTCCTCTTCAAAGTATTATTCACCAGCACTTTTCTCAACGTTTTGACCACTAGCGGAAAGATGAAGAGCGTTTTGGAACACTCGATATGGAATTGAAGGCAAAGAGTTTATTCTCTTGTACTTCCTCCAAATTACTAAATTGCTTGTTTTATCCAATAAACTACTTTTTGAGAGCTTTCTGTATCCGCGGAAAGAGAAAAAAAGGCGCACCAACAAGATTTGGTTAAGAAGACAAAAGCACCAAGTTGTTCTCTAAAAATTACCAGGTGAAATTTCTTAAGAAATCTGATCAATTGTCTTTCGACAATCTTTATTAACAACTTCGTGTTTTTCAAAGTTTTCCTCATTTGTATTTTTTAACGGATGACCATGTTCTAACATTTTCATTCGATATCTGAACACCTCATCTTCTAAGTACGGAAAACCTTGGCTATACTTGCGATTTACTAATAGCATCAAAACTTTTCCTAATCATAATCACTGTCTCAGCTGCAGTTTTTCCTCAACAAAAAATCAAAATTTCACTCTTATTCTTTGTTCTTTGTGATCGCACATCAGAAAAGTCGCAGGACCATGCAAGCAGGAACTCATATAATTCAACATCGAAAACGAATAATCTGATTGATGTTATTTGGAAAATAGGAGCCATATGTCCAGCTAATAAGGCCTGAACTAACAAGGCTTAATGGCACGAGCTGCAATTACGAAATGTAGTGTTGCCATTCCGGTTATTCTTGGATACCATTCCGTAAATTCAGAAGCAATTCTTTTTGATTTTGGTATTTTCCCTCGCAGAAGTTCTATCTACAAAATGATGTAAATTACATACCAGGAAGAAAGCGCTCTGACTGAAACAGTTATTTAAGAGATCTTCACTTTCATTATATTATTGCCGTCTTTGTTTTCTTCTGTTCCGTCTCTGCCAGTTTAGATCTGAGCGAAGATGTTGACTGGTAACTGTTAATTTTTAAAATCAGAGTGTTAATTAATATTAATTTTGAACAGCTCAGGGGATCACCTACAAATCAAGTTAATTTCGCATTAGAACTTTCGATGTTGATATTGTGTGTGATCTGCTGGTTTTAGAGGTAGCGGCTGGCCGATAAGGGCCTGAGCAGGTTAGATTACAATCATCGAACTGTAAACCGCCAACTCTGTCAGTCCTGCAGACGATGATAATATTCAAACAATCGAATCGTGCAGGGGGATTCTGAAGTTAAGATTCTATATAACATGCAAAATATCACACCGCAAATGCGTCCATGTTACTTCGCAGAAACATGGCGGAGATCCGTTAATAAAGATGATATTGCCTCGCGTATCCCCCTCTCTTTTTGGCTAATTGTATCCTCTGAAAATAGTTAAGTAAAATTGTGCGAGGGGAAAAGTATGCTATTCTTTCAATTTCCGAAGAATGCGGTTACAGTAAGAACATAATAAATGAAAAACATCATAGATAAAATACTGGTAATTAGCGCAATATTATTTCTTTAAAATTAAACCCCACTTTCCAATAAGAATATATAGGTATATTAACATTATAATATCAGACGTATATTCAGCTGATACATGATGTTAATTTATCTAAGGTAACGTATTCGGCTCATCCTGGGCTGAAGCCCTAGGACCACCTCACATGAATGAGTTTTGACAACAGTTCTCATCAGAGACATCGGAAGAAGGAAAGAGAAAGGAAGCTAACAAAAGACCTGTATTTCGGAAGATCGAAGACATTTGCAGTGGATAAGACTACATTGAGCTGGAACGTAAATAATAGAAGTAAGATGATATGTTTGGATAAGAACTCTTGCCACGTTCGCATAGCTTAACGAAGATCCTGCGCAAAATGCGTCTAATAAGTGCAATGGAAAAACACTTGAATGAAACGCTAATTCAAAAATGTAAATTTAAATTGAATAGATTGAAGAAAAATAACCCAGAAAATACAATTTACTAATAAACTAGCCCCCAGAGGGAAAAACTATGTGCTACAGTCAAAGAAGAAAATTATGGGAATATTTTTAAACTTTTCAGAGCATAGACCTGAAAAGCTGGAGGGAAACGTTCGCAGGGCAATATGGTATTTTTTCACCATGCTGTGTAACATTCGTTATGCATATGGCTGAAATACTCATAAAATTAGCCCTTATAAGGTCCACACTTACTTTTGTTTCCTAAAATTGAAAGAAATGCAAATTTCATGAAATTAAAAATTTAATAGGTTCTTAAATTGATTAATAAGCAATTAGGTTCTTAATTCCATTAAATTTAAATTTATCCCAGTTAATGCTATCATTTGCATTTATTTATTTTTACTTATTTGCATTTATTTTCATATTTAAAAACATTTTAGTGGCGCCATCCAATAAATCAATAGGCTAACTAAAAGGGGTGGATCTCGAGCTACTTCCTTCAAATTCTACATTAGATCTAGTAGCAGTTTCTGTTAAATTGCTCTGAATTTCAATACACTCTAAATCGTACTAATAAGTTTTTGCTGTTTAATATTTAACTAGTTCTAGTGTGACCAATTATTAGCTTCGTATATGAAAAACTCTATTATGCGAATTTACGTACCAAAGCAATATAAGGTAGGAAGTTATAGTTTTATCTCCTCGCAGTTCTTTTATTCATGTTAGGAATTTTCTTATTTCATAATCAGCAGATAAGAATAAGAAAAATTCAAACAGCTGTTTTTTTGGACAGCAGTATATTTTAAAAATTTAGCTAATATAATAATGTTGAGAGTTTTAGAAAAAAGGTATTCAGAGCTAGCATTTGCTACATTTTCACCTAAAGAGGGCACCTGTGTCTAGCTGTAAATTAGATTTTTTACATTTGACATTAAGTTCATCAGTAATTATTTTTTCTTATATATATATATATATATATATATATAAAGTATAAAGTTAAGTTGTAGTCTCACCGATAAATAACACAGAAAGATTAATCTGTAACAGAACCAGGAGTTTGATGACAAAGATGTTAGCTACTATATTTATAATTAAAATTTAAAAAAAAAATCAACCAGTATATTTAATTTCGAAATTTGCAATTTTTGACGTCAATTCCAATTTGCCTGGAGGGATCGGTTAATTAAGTGAGGATAATTGGGGGAAATAAGTTTAAATGAACCGCAACAAAAAAGAAATGTGTATAATTTAATAGGCAGTACAAGGAAGACATGTCGTGTCCACAGCAGATTTTTTTCCCGCCAAATAATATGAACACACTAAACAGAAAGAAACAGAATTAAACAGACTTACAGCATCCCAAAATCTCTAACCGCATAGAAATCCAGTTCTCCCATGCGACAGGATTGATTCGAATGAACTGTGCTTTAACTGGTTGAGGGAAATAGACGATGCTCACAGAGTTGCTGTCGTAATTCCCAGGAAATATCGCCTATGAAAAAGAAAAGAAAACATTACTAGGTATCATACTGCAGACTTTCTTTGTTTGGTCTCGTTTTGCCCGATCAAATTACAATACTTACTTTTCCACTAATCAGATTTCTGGACCAGAAAAATAACAATAAAAATTCTGAGAACGCGTAAGTTGCATTGAAACCGCAATGTAAATTCCATGACTCTGTCTCCTCAGATTTAAACTAAGTACTATTACTTTATTTAATGAGTTATCACTATTATAAAAATATATTGATAAGGAAAAGGTTAAATCTTGGGTATCAGCAAAAATCACAATAGAGAACAAATGGTTAGAAATATTTACTCATTTTGAAACAAACACTGTTCCATACAATAATGCACTAAAAATTGTGGAATACGTGCTGTCCTTACCATGAACTAATGCTGCGAGTGAACGCGTTTTTTCTACGGTAAATAAAGTGTGGACATCAGAAAAATAACAATTTTAAGTCTTGACTCTTTGAAAGCCATTTAACAAATTCTTCCGAAAAATTTCATGACCTTTTAGACGACAGCATTTTACTAAAAAAACTTCACTCATATGAGAAATATGCAAAAGAATAAAATAATACTCTACATAATTTTTTATTATTTACGTATGTATGTATTAATTTTTAATTGTGTATGTATGCATTAATTTTATATTTTATAATGTATTACATTTGTAATTTATACTTATGTAGAAATTAAAAAAATACATTACGATATTATTTTTGCTATCTATGACAGTTTCAGTTACTCCATAGAGACCAAATTTTTAATCAAGAATCTTCCGGTGAATGGTGTCCCGCTTTACCAATGTTAAAATCTGGTCACTTTATACTAGACCCGCGAATCCGATTAAACGAGAATGCCATTGGTAGAGTTTAGCGTGTCAGACCCATTTGGTATTGTAGCTTCGCACAGGATAACTGAATTTGTAACCAGTTAACATATTTTAACATTTCAGAAAGTGCTAGTGCTTTGCCAAGGGGATTAAATGTTTTCGTGTTGTATTACTAGTACCAGAGGAGCTGTTAGTCCCGACACTCACTTTTTGCCGGTATTCCTTTTGTGTGTGAATCACATTTCGAATTGTTGCCATGTAATGCTATCATCTCTACATATAATAAAAGAAAGAGTCTGTGTGAGTGTCTTTCGTTCGCGCTGCACGTAAGCTAATAGATCCACGGCTACGAAATTTGGTACATAGGTGCATCTAGACAAGAGCCAGTGCACCTCGAAGAGATTTTTTCGAAATTCGAATTAGAATTTTTTTTATTTTATGTTTTGTGACGAAATCGCGTCATTTTGAGACATAATAGGCTATAGGAAAACGATATTTACTCTACACACTCCATTTTCACATCGTCATGAAACGTAGGCACTTAGCTATTTTACGAACTTAAAATAAATTTCGTGTTTCAATAAATCGATTAAATACGAATTTATTTAACAAAGGGAGCTTAACACTTTTTCAACGGGATTTTTTCTAAAGAAGTTTATTTTTAAAAATGTACAGTTTATTTTTCTTTGATTTTTGGACACGTTAAACTTCCATCCTTGCGACTGCTTTTACAAAAAGAATGTTGGAAAAATGATATTTTGTATTTTATAAAAGTTTTTAAATGAAGCTTCCGAGTACACTTCTCACATTTCACATCTTTAAAAATGTGATTTTGGCAACAATTTTCCTGTCTTATTGTTGTTGATAGATTTTTGATGAAATCCTATGATTTTGAATAGTTTCGTTCTTTTAGAAATATGGGTTTGGCAACAATTTTTCATCGTATTTCTTATGTCGCTGTTTTTAAGAGATTGGTATATTTCATTGTTATATATATAGAGAGAGAGAAAGAGAGAGAGAGAGAGAGAGAGAAAAGCTGGCATTAGCCTTACCAATTTTTAAATAATTAGTTTTGGATAATGAAATTTTCTGCTTAAAGCCTATTAGAGGGCAGATGATGGATGGCTAATTCAGATTATCTAATGTAAAAATTGTATAAATGTAAATGTACAGTTAATTCTTCTTCAAACATTTACTTTCCTCCAAAGTTTTTGGCACTCTAATACTATTATGTAATAGTTTTAAATTACTTAGAAGGCCAGACTCTGCTTTTATTAACAAAATCGGGCCTTTTCATTTTTCATAGTAGCTTGACAGCCCTCTAGCTTGAAGAATGACGACTTTTATTAACAGATGATTATTTTCCAATTTACACTTTCTTTCTGTGGCCAAAAATAAGTAATTTTAGCTGAATTAGCCATTTTCACTTATTTTTAACAGCTTTGTTCTTCCTACAACTTGACTGACGCCATTTTGAGTTTTTCCGTGTTTTTTCTCATTTGTCACCCCCTTCTGTAAAAAAGAGGGGGACCGGCCAACTTTCTCTCTCCTTTTGGAAAACTTTTTCAAAAATATTCAACATGTTGCAAATCCTGTGCTGCATATGCTACCTGTATATGATCCTGCAGTCGCCTCATCTAGGAAGAGACCGAGATCGGTTCTCAACCCGGATTATGCTGCAAACCCATTTAAACGGGCAAGGTATGCTCACACTGACATGCATGTGAATAATTACTTCTCGCATGGAGGTAGGAAAGGGAGGAGGGGCCATTCCGCGCTAGAAGTGATGCACTGCTTTGAAGCTTCGGTCACCAGACGGGGTGTTCTTTGTTTACATTCAGAAGCTCGCTTGACAAGATTCTGATAGTATTTCGACACACGACAGTTCCATAGAAATCGAAAAAGAGACACTCTCGCATGAAAGAAACATTCATAGTGTGATGGATAATAGCAATTTGTATAGTTTACTGACATTTACTCAAAAAACACATCTTGGTAATTTTTCGATAACTAACAACAGCGATTTTGAGTATGAATTTGTTTTATAAAATTCTAAGCTGTTGCACTACAATAATATAGATTTTAAGAAAATTGCTAAAAGAGATCTGCCAAAATTTATTTTCTAGAAGATTTGAAAAGTTTGAAACTTGATGGCTGAATGTAAATATAAAATTATGTATGGTAAAATATTTGTAAGTAGGCACATAGGTCAGATTAAGTTTTTATTAAATAGAGTAACGCATGCAAAGGCTATCTGCCTAAAGAGAGAGATGCCATCGTGGAGGAATTTTGAAGAAAAACTGACCTTTGTATGGGTATTAAAATAATACTTATAATTTTCATTCAAATTATATTCATATATATTTTTTTATGTAAAATTTTTCGGGTGTATGCTAAATTAGTGTAAATTACTTTAAACGAAAATATGAGTGAATGCACAGAAATTAAAAATTTGCACATGCAGGAAATGATAAATAGGAAATATGTATGGGTATTTATGCATGTGCTTGCAAAAAGCATGTATCTGCCTTTGACAAAATACTTAAATATTCATTAAATTATTTATAAATGTATTTGAAATGAAGAATTTATTCACTTATAAACAACTGTGAAAGTACTGTGAAGAAATCTAATGATTAAATGTATCTAATTTATAATGATTATAAATGTTATCTAAATATATAATAACTTTAATATTGAATTGTAAACATAAATTGAAATCCTGTTGACAAATACGTTATGAAACTATTTAAGCAAGAATTGTTCGTATTGGAAAGCAATCTGTTAAAAGGTCTTACTTCCTACCTCAATGACTTCTCGTTCCTTCCCCTTCCCGCCTCTCGAGTCTTGAATGCTTAAGTCATTGACTGGAGAAACCCCTCCTGCTTCTTTAAGAAGAAGCTTTACAGTCGCAGGTGACTGAACCTAATTTTTAAATCTAAAGTCAATAGACTATTTCTCTACTTCAAAATAGCCCTAATTCAGCCCTTCTAAAAGGGCTTTTACTTGCTTTTAGCAACCCCTTAAGATGTGTCAATCATTTGGCCTTAAAGACCGCACTGAATAGCGGGCGGAAACGAAACTGCTCCCTCCGTCAGCTGACCAACTGACACAGCAACTTTTTCGACGCGTAAGAGCGTCCCCCCCCGTCCTTTTCCTCTTCAGAAATCTCGCGGGTAAGTCTGAAATTCCTCCCCCTATGGGTTCTTCACTCCGCAAGCTGATTATTCGTAAAGAAAGATCAAGTATCAAGGAAACACCTGCTTTTATTTTCTAGTCTTTAGCAAAAATTTTGTTTAAGATGACTGCCCCTATCTAATTTATTCTGGCTCTTATTTTGGCGCAAAATTAGACCTTCTGAGTTTTTATATTTGTTTTCAGTGTGAAGGCACTTATTCTCAAAAGCTTTTTTCGGCTTAACAAAATTTTTACCTTATTAGAAAATTCCCTCTTTTGATGATGACATTTTATTCTTCAGATGATGCGGAGGTAAAGACGTTTATGCCTAAGAACTCCGTAACACGAACTTCCTTGATCCTCGATCCTTGATCAGCCCATTGGCCTCTTCAGTTTTAATAGCTTCGCACGATGACGTCATTATACGATAAGGAAGGTTGGTTTGAACAAGAAAGGATTTTTGCGCCCTTTTCCAAAATTTTTTCGGAAGCTGAGGACGGAACCTCTCAGGTCAGTTTTTTCATTTTTAGTATAAGTTTTTTGGTCCTAATAAGACCCTGCAACGTTTTTACTTACTAAATTGAATACATTTTTTTACTTACAATGTCGATTACATTTATTTTACTTACAATGTCGATTACATTTTTATCTGTTTACAGCACCTTTCTTCTAATAAAAGTTACGAAGTCTTTAAGGTAAAGGACCAGCCAGTACGTTGATGTGTATTTTGACTAATAGCAGACCGCTATTTATTTTAATTTATTATTTTTAATTTATTATTTTTCTACTTTGATTTTGATTTTTATTTTACATCGCTCGGAATCATAATAGCCTTTGACACCTTAATGTGTTTTTCAGCGGACGCGTCGGGAAAAAGAGACAGAGCAGTGGAGCTACTAAAAAGGATTTATTCCAAAAGAATTTTTTCGGAAATACTAATATACTTTTGTATAAAGTTTTTTTCGCATTAAACA